TAGTGGTAATTATGAAGTAATAATTATTCACGTCAGCACTGGCGCGTATACACGCGACTTGATTCGACACCATTCTAATTGTCCCCGCAGGCCGGGGCTAATCACCTGTCATTAAGGACCCCCTGTCTGGAGGGTGAAGTGTTGCATGCGTGATGTGTGTGGTGTGTATTGTGTGTGTGGTGTGTAAGGTGTGTGTGGTGTGTATTGTGTGTGTGGTGTGTATTGTGTGTGTGGTGTGTATTGTGTGGGTGGTGTAAGGTGTGTGTGGTGTGTATTGTGTGTGTGGTGTGTATTGTGTGTGTGGTGTGTATTGTGTGGGTGGTGTAAGGTGTGTGTGGTGTGTATTGTGTGTGTGGTGTGTATTGTGTGTGTGGTGTGTATTGTGTGTGTGGTGTGTATTGTGTGTGTGTATTGTGTGGGTGGTGTAAGGTGTGTGTGGTGTGTATTGTGTGTGTGGTGTGTATTGTGTGTGGTGTGTATTGTGTGTGTGTTGTGTTAGGTGTGTGTGGTGTAGGGTGTGTGTGGTGTGTATTGTGTGTGTGGTGTAAGGTGTGTGTGGTGTGTATTGTGTGTGTGGTGTAAGGTGTGTGTGGTGTAAGGTGTGTGTGGTGTGTAAGGTGTGTGTGGTGTAAGGTGTGTGTGGTGTGTATTGTGTGTGTGATGTAAGGTGTGTGTGGTGTGTATTGTGTGTGTGGTGTAAGGTGTGTGTGGTGTAAGGTGTGTGTGGTGTGTAAGGTGTGTGTGGTGTAAGGTGTGTGTGGTGTGTATTGTGTGTGTGGTGTAAGGTGTGTGTGGTGTGTATTGTGTATGTGGTGTAAGGTGTGTGTGGTGTAAGGTGTGTGTGGTGTGTAAGGTGTGTGTGGTGTAAGGTGTGTGGTGTGTATTGTGTGTGTGGTGTAAGGTGTGTGTGGTGTGTAAGGTGTGTGTGGTGTAAGGTGTGTGTGGTGTAAGGTGTGTGTGGTGTGTAAGGTGTGTATGGTTTGTATTGTGTGTGTGGTGTGCATTGTGTGTGTGGTGTGTATTGTGTGGGTGGTGTAAGGTGTGTGTGGTGTGTATTGTGTGGGTGGTGTAAGGTGTGTGTAGTGTGTAAGGTGTGTGTGGTGTAAGGTGTGTGGTGTGTATTGTGTGTGTGGTGTAAGGTGTGTGTGGTGTGTATTGTGTGTGTGGTGTAAAGTGTGGGTGGTGTGTAAGGTGTGTGTGGTGTGTATTGTGTGTGTGGTGTAAGGTGTGGGTGGTGTGTATTGTGTGTGTTGTAAGGTGTGGGTGGTGTGTAAGATGTGGGTGGTGTGTATTGTGTGGGTGGTGTGTAAGGTGTGGGTGGTGTGTATTGTGTGTGTGGTGTGGGTGGTATAAGGTGTGTGTGGTGTGTATTGTGTGTGTAGATGTATGGTGTACGCTGTGTTACAGTCTGCGCCTAAGTTGTGCCGGGTATGCTGTGTGTATGGTGTGTGAGGTGTGTGTGTGTTGGGTTATGCACAGCATCTAAGCCGTATCGGGTGTGTGAGTGTGATGTGGATAGGGTGTATGTCTGTGTGTGTGTATGGAGCGGTGGTGTAGCGGTTAGCTCGCTCGCTCTCCCTAAAAACCCGACGGCCCGAGTTCGATTCACGATCGACACCAATGACGATTATCTGAACCGGTCCTAGGCCTCCCCTAGGTCGACTCAGCCTCCAATGAGTACCTGGTGCGGTGTGTAAGCATCGTCACTGGGGAGACAAAGGCGGCCGGGCGTGGTGCTGGCCACCCACCCCCTCGTGTACCGTTCCAGGCCTTCATAGGTGCTCGCTAACAGCACTTGCCCCTACCGTCTGTTAAGGCTATACTGGGGATCTTTGTTTTTGTACTGTATTACGTGTGCTTTGAGTGTAAGTTGGTGTTAGAGATGCTAGGTAATTTTATGAGATGTTGTGGAGTACGGTGGGGTGGTGTAAGGGGTGTAGTGTGATGTGGTGTAAGGTGGGTGTGGCGTGGTGTAAGGGGTGTGTGGTATAAGGGGTGTGTGTGGTGTGAGGTGGTGTAAAGTGGGTGTGGTGTTATGTGGTGTAAGGTGTGTGTGGTGTAAGGGGTGTGATGTGGTGTAAGGTGGGTGTGGTGTACAGTGTGTGTGGTGTAAGGGGTGTGATGTGGTGTAAGGGGTGTGATGTGGTGTAAGGTGTGTGTGGTATAAGGGGTGTGATGTGGTGTAAGGTGGGTGTGGTGTAAGGGGTGTAGTGTGAGGTGGTGTAAGGTTTGTGTGGTGAAAGGTGAGTGTGGTGAAAGGTGAGTGTGGTGGAACGTGTGTGTGGTGTGTGGTGGTTTGATGTGGTGTGAGGGGTGTGTAGTGTAAGGGGTGTGTGGTGGTTTATGTGGTGTAAGGTGTGTGTAGTGTAAGGTGGGTGTAGTGTAAGGGGTGTGTGGTGTGAGGTGGGTGTGGTGTGAGGTGGTGTGTGTGAGTGGGGTTATGGGGGGGGCAGTGCCCCTCTTTCCACTCGCTATGGAAACCATCTGGTTGCCATAGACCCCACGGGGTGGTGTTGATCATTGAATGCACACCTGTGTCTCCGCAGGGGTGGGAGACCCGTGTCCTATGTACAGGGTGCTCCAGATGTCTTGTGACCCACAGTTTAATTGACCCATAACACGTGTTGCCCTTTGCATATTAATTTCTGTTTTAAATAACTCTTATGAACGAACGAATAACCATTAGTTGGGTGAGAGACCGAAAGAACCAAAGAAGAATAACCATTACTTATTTTTTTAAAGATCATTAAATGGGGGTCACAAGACACCTGGACACTGCCAAGACACACACACACACCTACATACATTTATACGGAATAATAATGTATAATACACAACCTCTTGTCAATCCACTGCTGGATTAAGGCATTGCCCCCCAAGCTCTTTCGGCAACTCGCGTCTGTGGGGGTTGGCAAAGGTCAGCGGCGGGTGGGCAGGGTATGTGGATAGTGCTGTTTGTTGCTGGCCCAATGTGTTTATAACAACCAAAGTGCACACTGCTCCCTCCCGGTGACGTTACCACGGTGCCTGTGCCAGGCTAGGTGCACTTTGAGGCCACGCGCACATATTTTACGCTGCGTGTGAACGTCATCTGCAGATGATGCACCATCATCACCCATCATCATCACAACCCATCACCATCATCATCACCCATCATCATCACCACCCATCACCCATCATCATCACCACCCATCACCCATCATCACCCATCATCATCACCAGTGCCCCCCCCCCCCCCTCTTTCGCAGTGAGTCTTGGTACGGTCCACAATGACCACGTGACCCTTCCCCCTCCCCCCCCCCCCTCTGCGGTTGATAAGTGGGGTTGCGAAGCAACGGAGAACCCAACGCCGTGCTTGTGATTGGTTGCGCGGGTATTTAACTTCGCCATTCAATTGCTTTGTCTGGGCATCCCTCCCCCCCTCTTTCAGACCCCACTTACCCCAGCCCCTCCCCTTATCCCACGAGGCCCCTCCCCTCACCCTCCCTAACTCCTTTGCTCATCTCTCACCCCCCGAAACCTTTAGCCTCAACCCAGCAGCCCCCTCCCCTTGTCCCGTGGAACCCCTCCCCTCATCTCCCTACCCCCCCCCATTCCTTATCCCCCTAACCCCCTCTCCTTACTCCGCCACCAGCCCTCATCCCCTTAACCCCTCCCCTCACACACCAATCCCCCCTCATCCATCACCCCGGTCTCACGCCCCCTCCCCCCTTCACCTTTAATTTCGACCCAAGCTCACCATCAGTAGCATCGGCAATCATCTATCCACTGCTGAATGAAGGAATCCCCAAAAAGCCCTGGACATTATCTCCCCGGTTGCTGCGACGCCGCGACAATCCGTCTCCCTCTCGAGCTGATCTTCATCGCTCCGTCTCCTGCGCGGTAGGCGTCTCTCGGGCGTTTGATCCCGGCTTTGGCATGCACTCCGTGACCAGTCTCCACCATCGGGGTGACCCAAAGCCCCACTTTACATATCATTATCCCAGCCCCGCCCCTCACCCTCCCAGCCCCGCCCTCATTATCCCAGCCCCGCCCCTCACCCTCCCAGCACCGCCCCTTATTATCCCAGCCCCGCCCCTCACCCTCCCAGCCCCGCCCCTTATTATCCCAGCCCCGCCCCTCACCCTCCCAGCCCCGCCCCTCATTATCCCAGCCCCCCCCTCACCCTCCCAGCCCCGCCCCTCATTATCCCAGCCCCGCCCCTCACCCTTCCAGCCCCGCCCCTCATTATCCCAGCCCCGCCCCGCCCCTCACCTTCCCAGCCCCGCCCCGCCCCTCACCCTCTCAGCCCCGCCCCTCAGCTGCCCAGCCCCGCCCTTCACCCCCCATTGACCGTCTCACGCCCCCCCTCCTCCTCCATGAATCCATTAATTGTCACGATTCCAGCTTCGATCCGATTCACGAGTTGGGTTCACATTAAATAACAAAACAACTCAACAGATTTTGATTTAAAGCTTTCGTGACTGCAGTAATTCATATTCTTAGTTCTTTCGGTAAAGTCAACGTGACTTTACCGAAAGAACTAAGAATAACTCAACAGATTTGTCAATAACATTTAAATAGTAACGAACAGCATGAGTGCATTGAATATATTTCTTATTTTTCTGAGTGCTGTGAATCACGCATAAGTACAGCGCATACCAATAAAACATAACGAATTTATACACTGCACTCGCTGTAAACCTAGGACTCGATATAACAAAACGAATCGTTGGATCATTGTAAAACACCGAGGTGTAACGATTCGTAAATTAAATCGATTCTCACACTCATGAATTAAGCCAGGAGGAATCGTTTCTTTCCGTTTCATTTGTATCGCGAAACATAGAGGCAATTACTGAATCGAATCGTTTCCCGGAGTCGGTAATATCAACGGTATCGTGAAGGGTTTAATTAATCCTGCGCTGCTCATCTGCTTGCCCAGCCCCTCCCCTTGCCCCCCCAAACTCCCCCCAAACCCCCTCCCCCAGTTTCCCCCTCCCCCAGTTTCCCCCTCCTCCCCCCCGTGTCGGTAGATTCAGCACCGCCTGTGTGGACAGCGCCCGTGTGAGTGGTGGATATTTCAGGCGGTGGAGTAGGGAGTAGGAGGGAGCAGCAAGGGGGAGGGAGAGAGGGAGACGTGACTGGAGTTCGCAACGAGACGAGGCGCTCACTGCGCTCAGGTCTGGCACGGCGAGGCCTCCAGAGCGTTCCCAGCTCTCCCGCTCGTCCTGCTTCACCGGTCCTGCCGTCTCTCCCTTCTCTCACACTCTTCTCTCTCGGTGCTCCCCACTCTCCCACTCTCTCCCCGACTCTCCCCGCTCACCCTACTTTCCCACTATCCCCGCTCTCGTGCTCCCCCCCCTCTCCCAGTTCTCCCGCTCTCGCTGCCACTCTCTCGGTCTCCCACTCTCCCATTTCTCCCCATTCTCCACACTCTCCCATTCTACCACTCTCTCTCTGCCATCCCACTCCACCAGCCCTTCAACTTCTCTGCTCTCTAACTCTCCCTGCTCTCCCACTCTACCGAATATTTCCACCATCCCTACACTCCGAGTTCTCCCTGCACTCCGAGTTCTCCTTGCTCTTCCTGTCTGCCACTCACCCCTTGCTCTCCCATCTCCCCCCCCCCCCCCCCCCCCCCCACCACACTCTCTCAATCTCTCCCCGTACCGCACTCTCTCACGGCACAACGAAGCGTGGGAGCCGAGGTGGAAGCCGCCCTCCCATGCGTGGGTCGTGCAGGGGCGAGTGAGCGGCGTGGAGTCACCTACAGCGGAGAGGTGATGGCACCCAGTGTGTGCACGTGTGTGTGTCACACAGTTAAACTTGTATGTACAGTACACACACACACATACACACATACAAAGACTCATATCCACCCATATAGCTTTAGCAGACTGCTAGGGCAAGTGCTGTTATGTCGGCCGTTACGGTGCACCAGTTGTTTTGTGGGACATCACCATGTCCGGTTGCCTTTTCACTGTTTATGCTTACACGCAGCACCAGGTGCTGTGCTCATTTAAAGTCGAGTGCGCCGGCCCACCGCCCAGAACCCGTTCAAGAAATGCTACTCGCCACCGATGTTAGCTGTGGCCTGGAATGTTAAAGTAGGGTTGCCGAATTCGTAGCGCAGTAGAGATAACCACTGCGCCACAGTTCCACACTCAGAGGACAGTACAGTACACATACAGGCAGTGTATCCAGTATATATATACACACACATGTATGACACAATTTACATACATTGGCATACTTGCCAGTATTGGGGTTGTCCATGAGAAATCGATGTCATTTATACATTTTCCATTTGCTCTCGATGTCCTTTTTCTCAATTACTTTTTTTAAAGAGTGCATTATCTTCATGTCCTTGCTGAGAGATAAGTATAATAGATGTTCTCTCTTGTAATCCTTTCCAATACCAATTTACAAATCATTATCACCTTTGCACAGATATCGCAGTTAGCATTATCATCATCACGTCTCTGCTCGTTTTTACCGACTCTGCGTTGCTCGGAAAATACAGCACATGAGTGATGATGATCTATCACACGCTGTTGTTGTTCCCGTTACACGGTAATATTGCTCAAGAGGGGACAGAGCGAATTATAGGCAATATCTAATAGATATCTTGACTCAAAAACTATAGGTTCAAGGGGTTGTAGTAGACTTTTGACTGCTTCTAAGCACCAGATTAAAATCCCTTCAGAAGCAATGAAGGTACAAACGATGTTCTCACTGTCAATTATGAAACCACTGGTGCTGTGTAACGGAACGTGCGCTGAAAGTGGGGGCAAAGTGGGAAAAAAGTATTGCTTGAATGACATTCATATACATCATATAAATCTGAGCTCGGCAAGTAACGCACACAGAAGTTTACTTAACGCAATAATTGCTGGAGACACAGCTGCGTGGAAATCAAAGCAAAATGTGCCCATACCTCGGGCAATTATTCCTGAAGGTGGATCGGGATTTAAAAAAATGATGAGACAAAGAGGTGAATAAAAGCAGGGAATGTGTTTTTTTAAACGGAATTTTACCATTTGTGGCCAGGCCGCAACTGAAACAAGCTTCATAGCTCAGTGGGCCTCACCTGGTAAAATAAAACAAAAGTAGGTTGGTTCTTAGTTTTAAAAATAGTTTCGTTTAAATAGTTCGTGCCTCGGACCTCTGACCAGTCACGTTGACGTTCAGCTGCCGAGCGCCACCGGCGGTTATGTAGTCGGAGCACGCTGGAGACTCTCTTGCCGACGCTCGGCTCGAGGTGCCCATGAGGGACGAGATGAGATTGCGGCTTCGCAAGATTGCGAGTAACTGCAACGGCGCGAGGGTCTCCTTCATCCAACGGGGGATTGATAATGGCTGATCCATATGTCACACGGAAGCCATATTCACTGATTATGTAAATCCCTTGAGGATGCTGTGTGTATTTAATTGCAAATGACATGGAAATCCTAATCCAATGATGATGGCATAGACATTCACAGGCAAGGACCTTCTTCTGTTAGATACGGGTTCCAGTTAGATTCAAAAACTATATATCAAAATACACAATGCTAAATTCTCATTGGCGTCCTTGTAGAAAATATTAATAATGAAATAGACAAGCAGGCAACGTCACGTGTACAACGTGTCTCCCGCATTGTGTCTACTACACATTGTACATGAGTAAACACTGATTGCTCGGGTCAGTGTGCCAACCACTGGCACCACCGCTTTCTCCTGTGGCTCGACCCTCGGAGCAACGGCGGCACTTTTAGGTCAACAGTTAACTTGTATCCACTCGGGGGGGTGGGGGAATATTATATTATGTAATAATAAACTATCTACGGTGTGCGTCGGCTGTGGCCACCCAGAACAGAGCCACGGGTTTTTTTTGGGTTAGATCGCGTAAATATAGAAATGTGTCGTCAAACCCGCCACCACCCGACACAAGCCAACTAGTAAGGGTTGTCATGTAAACAGAACTTGGCCAATTTGTTACTAGTACAGCAACACCGGTGTGTTGGAGAGCCAAGCCACAACATTTACTATCTGAGTACGACGTTTCGCCAGTTATTACAACTAGCTTAATCAGGCTTCATGAGACGACAGCCAGGTGTGTGTGATATTGGTCGCGAAAGCCTACGTGTTAAACCGACTCTGCGCCCGCTTCACAAATACCAAGGAGGCGTCATCACGGCGACGCAGTCTGCAGACCGCTGGCAAAACTATCTGGCTCAACGACCTCAGTGTGAAATGGGCGTTGTTGTGCTGCATCGACATGTGCCGTGCACAGAAGACGAAGAAGACGAAGGAGAATATTGGCCGTCTGCTTGCCCACCTAACACTGATGTACGCTCGCCCCTCTTCCAATGTGCGTTTGCGCATGCGGTACGGCCACCATATAGCCCACATGATCATACCCGGTAATGCATTTTATTGGTTCTCTCGGTAAAGTTACGTAGATAGAACGTAAAAATACGTCGTGGGTTTTTTTAATTTTATTTTACATTTTCTATCTACGTGACTTTACCGAAAGAGCGAAGAATATGAATGCCTGCAGTCACGAAAGTTTTAAGTCAAAATATACCCGGTAATGTAGTCACTACACCACTGATAATGTAGTTACTACACCACTGATAATGTAGTTACTACACCACTGATAATGTAGTTACTACGTCACTGATAATGTAGTCACTACACCACTGATAATGTAGTTACTACACCACTGATAATGTAGTTACTACACCACTGATAATGTAGTTACTACACCACTGATAATGTAGTTACTACACCACTGATAATGTAGTTACTACGCCACTGATAATGTAGTTACTACAACACTGATAATGTAGTCACTACACCACTGATAATGTAGTCACTACACCACTGGAAAATGTATTTACTACGCCACTGATAATGTAGTTACTACACCACTGATAATGTAGTCACTACGCCACTGGTAATGTAGTCACTACGCCACCATCGCTGTCAACCCATTTGGTTTACCCAGTATTCCTGTACCGGGAAATTGAGTGTTCAGGTCCATACGGCGTACAGCCGTTTCAATACGTGCAAAACAGCAATTGTGTCTATTTGTTTGTGTTTCTCCCTTGCGAAAGGACTTTGTAGGATGAACGTTGAGATGAATAAAGGGCACGGGGTGACCAATAAGGTCTGAATTGGTCTGTAATAATGTAGACACGAGATGCAGATTGTGCGTGGTTGGTTTGATCGTGACGCGCGCGTTGGGCTTAACTGTTCGTTTCCCATCACGAGCAAGAGGGTCGGTGACTCAAAGCTCATGTGACCGAAAATTAATTGGCGAGTCCGCCTGTTAAATCGAGGAGCAATCAAAACAAGGGGGCAACATTCTTCGAATTCACAGCTGCACCACGTAGACAAACAACATGTGTGGTTACGTTGCCTCGTTGATGTGTGTCTTGCATTAGCCGCGATTTAGTTTCATCTGAGCCCCCTCCCACCCATTTAGTTCATAGTTCAATTTATTTGGTGTAGCCCTGTGAGCCATTCGGCTCTTGAATCGGGTGTAACCGCAACAAACAAAAACATGAACAAGAAAACATCTTAAAGTGATTATGTGACTGTGCAAACAGAAAATCCAGGAAAAAAACATCAAAATATTCCTGAGATATCACCGTACACCAACGCTGTGTGCAAAAATCCCAGTGGGATGCAAGTCAAACACCAACAACAACCACAAGACAACTAAGATTAAGGCCATCAGTCTAACTCCGTACTACAATAATCAAAAACATGGTCAAACCAAAAAAAACAGCGAGGCAACACACAGACGGACATCACAAACAGCACACAGAAGAATGGCAAAACTGCACGGAGGCAGCAATGAATCCCCCTGGCTTTAAACGTTTTGATAAGATTGGGACATGCGCACTGAGATGAATGTGGACTGAGAGGAGGAAGAGGAGGAGGGTGGTGAGAGATGCGTTGAGAGATGGGAGTTCAATATCTATCAGGAGAGACCAAGGATACATGAAGTCGGGAGATGTACAGAGATGTAATCATAGAACGCTGTAAGCATCTGTTTGGAGATGCACCAGGAGGAGGCATGCTTATTATTTTAACTGGGCTATTATATACGTGTGTATTATGATAACGATTGATGATAACAAGCGTTGATAATCATGGAAGTGTGTACAGATGATGTGGGTGTTGTATATTATAATTTATGATGACTGTGATCATGATGGTGGTCGTGGTCATTACCAGCAGCAGCAGCGATGATGCTGTGATATTCCTTATGGATAGTGGAGCTGATTATGATGACGGATAGTGGACCGTTAAGATTATAAGGATGACAAAGATAACGATCATGGTGATTTAATACGAGAGACGATGATGCCGGCAATGCATCTGATGATGCTACTGCTGTTGCTGATGTTGCTGCTGCTGCTGCTATGACCTTAGAATCGAGAGTTCCCCTGTAATTATCAAACAAACAATTTGGCGATACTGCAGTGGCAGCGGTACACAGGCATTGGTGATACACACTGCGGGCCTTAAAATGAGACACGATATATAAAAGGCAACGTTTCGGGCAATGCCGGTTCTTCAGGTACGTCCCGCGAAGCAGGGCCGACGCCCCAAACGTCACCTATCACATACAACATCGCAGTTCAACCTCTCCAAGGCCACAGCGTTATTGCCAAATGTGTTGCATTGATGCGAACGTCTAAAGTCTCCCTCACTTTGTTGACCCTTCCCCCCTGTCCCCCCCCCCCACCTGTGCACGCCGGTAGGTGAGAGAGAGGTGGGGTGGGTGGGGGGAGTCGGGTGAGCTGCTGCTGCTGGTGGTGGTGGAGATGTCTCGCGTCAAGCAGGTGGGGCTGCTGGCCGCCGGGTGCCAGCCGTGGAACAAAGACGTGTGCGCGGCCAGCGGAGGCCGCTTCGCCTACTGCGCCACGCTCGCCATCTACGTGTACGAGGTACATCAGGCCCAGGCGGCCGACACGTGCGCGCACCGTCACGCACCTCCCATCGGTGCGCCGTTTCGGCTGAGAAGTCCCAGCGTGCGCGCGTGCGATTGCGGCGCAACGGCGATGATGGACTCAGCATCGTGGTGCTGCGATGCCGCCGCCGCCGCCGCTGCACGCGTAGTACTCGCTCCTCGATCTCGTAGAGAGAGGGAGAGAGAGAGAGGGAGGGGGGGCGACTCGGAGGCGGGACGGGGGAACCACAGATGAGCTGCGAGAAGGCAGCAGCAGCCACGCGGCGAGCTGGTGTTATCAACAAGTGCCCAAGTTCTGCAGTCCTATTCTTGGTTCTTTCGGTAAAGTCACGTAGAAGGGGAACAATAAAATAATGTGAAAAACCACAACAAGAAAAAATTCTTGTTGTGGTTTTCACACCTGATGATGATTGATTGTGTTGCAGTCGAAACGTCGTGAGGATTTTATTGTTTTATATTTTTATTATTTTATTGTTTCCCTTCTACGTGGTGACTTTACCGAAAGAACCAAGAATATGAATCCCTGCAGTCACGAAAGCTTTAAATCCAAATTCTGTAGTCCTCTCTAAATGAATGTGTCATTGGCCAATTAATGAGTGTTTACATTTGGGAGGAAAGTGGAGTCTCCGGAGAAAACCCGCGCATGCGAGGGGGAAACACTATATCCCTTAGAGTCCACACTTTGCTGTACTGCCTTCTGCTGGCGAGCCAGAGTTTATCACCTCGATGCCCACGGGAAGGGAGTTTCACAACATTTGTGCGATCCACCAACCCTGGATTGCAGACCTGAGCGACCACTGCCTGGGCAGCGTCGCATATCCGCTCTGATCAATTAACGGGCCACACCCAGGTGTGGTGGTGATAGCACGGCGTAACCGTGTCACTTTCGAGACATGTTCACCTGTCTGACATTTTCACAACGGGTAATGTGTTCTTAAACGCGGTGTTATGTCCCCTGGTTAACCCTGGATAAATGTCAGCATTTGGATGGATTTTCCAACATTTGGGGTCCGCTCACTTCATTTGCAAAAAAAAATCCACGGGTCGGTTGGGGTGGCGGATAACGGAAGCCACTGGGGTGTCGGGGTAGCGAAATGTTAACTACCTCGCCTGGTATACAGGAAGTCGTGGGTTCGATCCCAACCCTCACGCCTGCTGCTGTATATTTGGAGTTTCCATTTTCTCCCCGTGGTAGTGTGGATTTGTCTCCGGGTCCTCCGGTTTTCCCTCCGCGTTCAGAATCGACGTGCGCTTTAGAGTATTTTCCTGCCATGAATTGCCACGTGATGTTAATAAGCCACTTCGTTGAGCTATCATTTGTGGTCAGGTCGCTTCTGAAAAATATCTGTTCAGCTCAGTGGGCCTTACCTGGTTAAATACATTTTTTTGTAAAAATACTAATTTATAATAGGGTAAACGGGTGAAAGGAATTCCACCGCATGACGCCGCCTGCGCTTGCCCTCACCCGTCAGCTGGACCAGCGCTACAATGAGTTCAAGCTGCGCGCCATCATGTCCGAGCACAAGAAGACGATCACGGCGATCGCGTGGAGCCCGCACAGCGCCGACGTCTTCGCCAGCGCCAGCGCCGACAGCCTCCTCGTGGTGTGGAACGTGGCCGAGCAGCGCGTGGTGGCGCGGCTAGACGCCACTAAAGGTGGGCGCACGTCGGGGGGGGGGGGGGGGGGGCTAGGGGGCGGGGGTGAAGGCGGCGAGGGAGATATGGGGGGCAAGGGGAACACGGGGGCATGGGGGGCATGGGAGATACAGGGGGCACGGGACATGGGGATACGGGGGACACACGGGGACACGGGGGATATGGGGCACGGGGGGCAAGGGGGGGGCAAGGGGGACGTCGGTGCGGATGTGGGGGAAACGGGGGATACGGGGGGCACAGGGGGACACTTTGAGACATCGTTATAGAACACGCGGCACACACATCGCAACAAAGTGCATTCAACTACGATGTGGTTCTCAGCACTGGTGAGGTGCCTCATCCCCAATCCAGAATAATGGTCCCTGTGCCCCTCTCCAGTCACATAAAGCCACCGTTCACAGAGACGGCTCACACGCGGTGCTCAGTCCTTCGTTTGTTAACACGCTTCGCGTTGCGCCTTGGCAAATGTGGCGGCTGTCATTCCCCCCTGCGCACACCGCAGCCTACACGCACCCTTCCTCCTGGAAGGTACAGCAGCAAGCCGTTGCTTGCCGTGGACACAAGAGAGATCGTGCCAGGGTCTAGCGAGCGGTTGCAAACCACAATTTGTTTACCCGGCAAGCTTCGTCGATCTGTTTTTGTTTTCGCGAGCATGGACGTTGTTGCCGTTGTCATCATCGTCGTCGGTTCTTTTTTTAATCATTTTGAACCGCGCGTGCGTCATACGATGTGTACGTTCCGCGTTAATTGCACAAAGGGGGCACCTGCATATGAATGTCGTGTGACGTTGTGTCGCGCGAGGCCCCCTCGTCAACGCCGCCTCGTGCGCAGGAGGAGCGGTGACTAGGGGAGGGCGGGCGGCCAGATGCTGTTGTTGCTGTTGTTGTTCACACTCAAGACTTCCCGCTTGCTCTGCCCAGACCCTGGCAGATTTTCTATGTATATTTTTTTTGGGGGGGGGGGGGGGATATAAATTATAATGAATTTGTACGGATTTTTTTTTATAGACGCTAAGTGCAATGACAGTGCAATTTTTTTTTAATTAACAAACATTTGTCTGAGCCATTGGTGCATATTCCACATTCCCATGGCAGGAACGAAGAGTCCATCCGTAGGTGAACCACTGTCGACTTCGCCACAGAGCGAAGCCTGAGTGGACCCACAACGAGGATGTTAACTCGGAACGTTTGCACTGTGGGTCGCTGGCTCGTCCGCTGAGCCAACTGGCCGCATCAAAAGTTTAGTCAGGGGTTTGAACCTGGGTGGCGAGCTTCAGGGGCAGCCGTGCCCTCCTTCTCCACCCCGTCCTCCTCCTCCCCCCTCCCTCCCCCTCCCTCCTGCCTCACCCCCCCTCCCTCCTGTCTCCCCCCTCCACCCCCTCCTCTCCCTCCCTCCTCCTATCCCTCCTATCCCTGCTTACCCCCTCCTCCCCTTCCCTCCCTCACCCCTTTCTCCCTCCCTCCCCCCTCGTCCCCCTCCCTCCATCCCTCCTCCTCCCCCTCCCTGCCCCTCCATCCCTCCATCCCTCTCTCCCCCCTCCTCCCCCTCCCTCCCTCCCACCTTCCCTCCCTCCCTTTCATGCCGCCCCCACCCCCCACTGTGAACCAACTCATACGACGCCTACCCCCCCCTGCCCCCCCCCCCCGCGGCAGGCGTGCCGGCGTCGGTGAGCTGGTGCTGGAACGCGGGCGACGCGGTGGCGTTCGTGTCGCACCGCGGGCCGCTCTACGTGTGGACGGCGAGCGGCGCCGACGGCGGCGTCGTCATGCACAAGGAGGCGCACTCATTCCTCTCCGACATCTGCCTCTTCCGCTGGCACCCGCGCAAGGCCGGCAAGCTCGTGTTCGGCCACACCGACGGCAGCCTCTCCATCTTCCAGCCAGGTACCGCCCGCTGCCCTGGCCGAATCGCGCCGCACGGAATTTACTGCTCGACGTTGATTTAACGTCTCGGAACTTTCGGTTGAAAAAAACTAAAATTTTAAGCGACGCGGTTTGTGGTTTCTGTTTGTTTCATTGTTCGCTTTGCTTTGGGGCCGTCCATAAATGACGTCACGCGATTTTGGCCGATTTTTGACCCCCCGCCCCCCCCCTCGTCACACGGCGTCACAAAAAGTCAGACCCCCCTCAAATGTGACGTCACAAAGCTCTGCCCCCCCCAAAAAAAACATATTTCCATTTTGAAAATAAAACGTGTTTCAAATCGCTTTCAACTATTGTCGTTGTAGTGCGTATTTGATGTGGCGCTGCGCTCTGATGTTGGAGAAAACATTTATTAAAAAGGAGGCGTGGGAAAGCTGAAATTTAGCATAAAATTCACTTGAAATATTCAGCGTCTAAATAAAACTGCAGATGTTCAGAATATTATATTGAAATTCTCTTATAATTATAAAATATTAAAAGTTATTATAACTATTAAAAAAAATACTTGCAACTTTGTAGTAGAACGAAGCAAAATGGAGAGTACAATTATAGCAATCACATATTCATTTCACAGAATGAAAAGCCCTGGTAGAATCATTAGAATCAAAATGTTTAATAACAATCATTCAAATTTTTTTACGAAATTTATGCTTCTCTATTCTCCTATGGAGAAGCAAAATGCTCCTTCATGGAATAAATAAAAGGTGACCTTAGTCAATTGAAACAATCAATTAGTTAATAATGAAAATTAATACAAATTTGTGTTATAACAATTCTATTTAATTAATATTTATTTAAAGTTGCGCATTTTGATGTGACGTCACATTTCTCAAACCCCCCTCTCCCCTCCTCGTCACACATCGTCACAAATGTCTGACCCCCCCCCACCTCGGTGCGTGACGTCATTCATGGACGGCCCCTTTTGTCAGTTTTTTTTTCTGGTCACCCAGTTCGCTCTTGCAAAAGCGACTCTATCCTCCCGGTCTCTTTGAGTCTTGGTTAAACAGAATAAACGTTCCGCTTGAGACTGGCAGCGATAGGTCAAGGATGGGTGAGGGCCGGTTACCGAGACACGAGACAGCCATTGGAGTGGTCACCTCGATTCCAGCCACCAAGGGGAAGACCGAAGTCCACATGGTGGGGATACTGTCAGGACAGATCTTGCAGGTCGCGTGTCAACTCCGCAGCAGCTGTGGGATCTGGCGGGGGGGGGGGGGGCGGTGGGATGCGTCGTCGATGAGGTGTGGGTGATTTGCATCGACGGCTTTGGCCACGGTGACGTCTTCTTCAGTTGATCAGTGACTGGTTCGTCAGATATTTAATGGAAATTTGTGGTTGTAATTTTGTGTTTTTTCTTTAGAACTGCTTTTTGTGTTTTAGTTTGTTGTCCTTCACCTGCACCTCCGATTTTGCACGGTTGGCTATGTACGGCGCGAAAGAAGTCTGACGTACGTGATGTTGCTGCTTCAGGGCTATTCTGTTCCACCCTCTCCGACCCCGTGTTGCCCGTGTTCGCATCTTTCCCTGCCGACCGTGATTACGCAAATGTGGTCGGAATGACGTGGAAACAGTTTGTTTGGAAAATGTTTCGTGATTGATTTGACAACGCATTGCGACTTGGCAAAAAGGACGACGGGAGTACAGAACTGAGATCAGATACACGGGATTATGGAATTGCCAATTGATTAACTCATGGATTGGCCAATCGAGTAACTGATGTATTGACGATTAGCCTAAGTCATTGAATAACTACCTACCGAACAGATTGCCCGAATAAGTGATATATCAATTGACTGACTGTTTAAATCACTGACCTACTAACTGACCTATCGCGCAACTGACTGACCACCCCGCCGGCTCACCGGCTATCCGAGCGGATCGTCTAATGGTGCACGCCCCCCCCCCTCGACCCCGGCATGTGCGCACGCACATGTGCGTGCCTGTGCGTGCGTGTGTGCCTGTGCGTGCGTGTGTGCCTGTGCGTGCGTGTGTGCCTGTGCGTGCGTGTGTGCCTGTGCGTGCGTGTGTGCCTGTGCGTGCGCGCATGCGTGTGCGAGGTTGGAAGAGCCAGAAGCACGTGCTGCGCCCCGAGTCCCTGGAGGGCACGGACGAGGAGGACCCCGTGACGGCGCTCGAGTGGGACCCCCTCTCCACCGACTACCTCCTCGCCGCCAACCTGCACAACGGCATCCGCCTGGTGGACGCCGACTCGCTCGTGTGCATCACCGCCTTCGCCCTGCCCGGCGCCGCCGCCTCCGTGCAGTGCCTCGCCTGGGTGCCCAGCGCGCCTGGCATGTTCGTCACGGGCGGTGAGTGCCGGGACCTCGCCGGGCCTTGCCGAGTGCATCTCTCCTGTCAGGCCTCCGTGCGTTCCCAGTGTGTCCTCTGTGTCACCTGTCAGGCCCCGTGCGTTCCCAGTGTGTCCTCTGTGTCACCTGTCAGGCCCCGTGCGTTCCCAGTGTGTCCTCTGTGTCACCTGTCAGGCCCCGTGCGTTCCCAGTGTGTCCTCTGTGTCACCTGTCAGGCCCCCGTGTGTTCACAGTGTGTCCTCTGTGTCACCTGTCAGGCCCCGTGTGTTCTCAGTGTGTCCTCTGTGTCACCTGTCAGACCCCGTGTGTTCCCAGTGTGTCCTCTGTGTCACCTGTCAGGCCCCCGTGTGTACCCAGTGTGTCCTCTGTGTCACCTGTCAGGCCCCCGTGTGTTCACAGTGTGTCCTCTGTGTCACCTGTCAGGCCCCGTGTGTACCCAGTGTGTCCTCTGTGTCACCTGTCAGGCCCCCGTGTGTTCCCAGTGTGTCCTCTGTGTCTCCTGTCAGGCCCCCGTGTGTTCCCAGTGTGTCCTCTGTGTCACCTGTCAGGCCCCCGTGTGTTCTCAGTGTGTCCTCTGTGTCACCTGTCAGGCCCCCGTGTGTTCCCAGTGTGTCCTTTGTGTCACCTGTCAGGCCCCCGTGTGTTCTCAGTGTGTCCTCTGTGTCACCTGTCAGGCCCCCGTGTGTTCTCAGTGTGTCCTCTGTGTCACCTGTCAGGCCCCGTGTGTTCCCAGTGTGTCCTCTGTGTCACCTGTCAGGCCCCGTGTGTACCCAGTGTGTCCTCTGTGTCACCTGTCAGGCCCCGTGTGTACCCAGTGTGTCCTCTGTGTCCCCTGTCAGACCCCCGTGTGTTCTCAGTGTGTCCTCTGTGTCACCTGTCAGGCCCCCGTGTGTTCCCAGTGTGTCCTCTGTGTCACCTGTCAGGCCCCCGTGTGTTCTCAGTGTGTCCTCTGTGTCACCTGTCAGGCCCCGTGCGTTCCCAGTGTGTACTCTGTGTCACCTGTCAGGCCCCCGTGTGTACCCAGTGTGTCCTCTGTGTCATCTGTCAGGCCCCGTGTGTACCCAGTGTGTCCTCTGTGTCACCTGTCAGGCCCCCGTGTGCTCTCAGTGTGTCCTTTGTGTTTTCCCTCAGGACCCATGTGCTCTTCAAAGGTGGTTAGCCTTCCCAGCGTGTCCCCTGTGCCTTGATAATTATCGATTTACTGATTACTTGATTATTATAAACTCTTATCCTCTAGCCCCAACCCCAGGTCCCTATAACAATGTGCGGATAGACAAGCGAATGTATCATTATCCCCATGCCCCTGTGTATCAGTGTCTCCCTATGTCCCTGTGTCTATTTCCTCTTGTCTCCCCACATCCCACGTCTTCACACCTGTATCCCTACATCTCTGTGTTTCCTTGTCTCCCCATGTCCCCGTGTCTGCACATCCCCGTGTCGTCCCCCCCCGCGTCCCCGTGTCGTCTCCGCGTGGGCAGACTCCCAGGTGGGCGTGCTGCGCGTGTGGAACGTGTCGCGTACGACCCCGCTCGAGCACTTCAAGCTGAAGAAGACGGGGTTCCACGCGCTGCACGTGCTCAGCTCGCCCCCGCGCCACAAACGTAACTACGCCGCCGATTGCTGCCGTTGACTTTAACGTGCGAGCTCGATCCATCCATCTGCCTTTAACGGAGGGGCACGTTAAATCGCGTAAAGATGATCCGACGCGAATGAGGCTTTAGCGTCAATTTGTGTTGCCGTTATGGTAAACCGGCCGATTTCATCAATGGATTTGGCAGAACAAAGACGAGCGCCGCACAGGTTGACCCCCTCTGCGCCGCCTGGGGCCGCTTCGTGACCTCTTGACCTTAACCCCTGACCTTGCCCCTTCCCCCACGCCCGGCCCCGCCCCCTCGCACCCGTGTTTGTCAGCGGTGCCGCGGGAGTCTCCGACGAGGGGCCAGCACACGTCATCGACGAGCGAGGCGGTGCCGCCCCCCACGTGGTCCCAGAGCCGCGCGTTCTCCCTGCCCCCCGGCCATGCCGTTTGCTGCTTCATGGACGGAGGCGTCGGCCTCTACGACATGGGCGCCAAGAAGTGGGACTTCCTGCGCGACCTGGTGCGTGCGGGTTCGATTCACGCTCGCGACCGGTAACGGCGTCGAATGTTTGAACCGGTCCCCTCCCCCCCCCCCACCCCCCCTCCCGGGTCTCCCCGATAGGCCGACCTGGTGCAGTCTTGTAAACGTCAGCACTGGGGAGACAAAGGTGGGCCAGGTGTGGCGCCGGCAACAACACCTGCTCGTGTGCCCTGCCACCCAGGGTCACGTGGAGACGATCTTCGACTGCAAGTTCAAGCCGGACGACCCAAGCCTGCTGGCGACGGCGTCGTTCGATGGCACCGTGAAGGTGTGGGACATCAACAGCATGCGCGCCGTGCACACGTCGCCCGGCAACGAGGGGGTCATCTACTCGCTCTCCTGGGCGCCCGGTACGGCCCTCCCCCTGCGTGCACTCCCCTCTGACTTCTCCTGTCTCTCACGTGACGCTTCCCACCCCCCCCCCGCCCGCCCGCCCCCTCTCACTCCCGCGAGTTCTCCCCACTCTTTCCTGTGAATTCTCCTTTCTCTCGCGTGACGCTTCCCTCTCTCGCTCCCGTGACTCCTGCTGTCCCTCCTCCTCTCTCTTTCCTGCATTCTCCAGTCTTCCCGCGTGTGTCCACGTGTGCGCGAGGATACGCCTGTCCGTGTGTGAGCACGTGTACGGCGTGCCTGTGTGTGTGTGTGTGTGCAAGCTGGCACAGTGGGCTGCACAGGTGGTTCATCTGCCCTTCATCCTTCGAGCGCTGATTGTGTTTAGTTTGTTAACCTTCGCCCACAGCTCCAATGAGCATGATTGGCTATGTACGGTGCCAAAGAAGTTCAACATACATACATACCTAGCCTGGCACATCAGTCAACCCATAACACCTGGGTCTGCTCCGTGACCTCCTGCCAGCGGCAAGAGCCTTCCACACTGTGACAATCTCAAAGCGCACCTAGCCTGGCACAAGCACTGTGGCGAGGTCATCGCCGCTCATTGGCGAATAGCGGCTGTCATCATTGTTGGTGCGTGTACGTGCGTGTGCATGTGTCCGTGCATATACGTGTGTGTGTGTACGTGCGTGTCCGTGCGTGCGCATGTGTGTGCGTCCATGCACGTACCTATGTGTCCGTGCGTTACGCGTGTGTGTACGCGTGTGTGTGTACGTGCGCTCGCCCACCCGCCCACAGCGGACCTCAACTGCATCGCCGGCGCCACGTCTCGGAACGGTGCCTTCATCTGGGACATCAAGAAGGGCAAGATCATCACGCGCTTCAACGAGGTCTCGTGCGCCGCACTCGCTTATCGTTCCCGCTCTCTCACTCACTCTCTCGCTCTCTCTCTCGCTCTCTCACTCACTCTCTCACTCACTCTCTCGCTCTCGCTCTCGCTCTCTCACTCACTCTCTCACTCTCTCACTCACTCTCTCGCTCTCTCTCTCGCTCTCTCACTCACTCTCTCCCACCCTCCCTCTCTCCCGCCCTGCAAACGTCGCCGCAGTTTTGTCGTCGGCAGCTGAGAATGACGACGCAATCCAATGGGGACCGCCTTAGTGAGGCTCTCCTGGGCATCATTGTCAACATAATCATCATTGTCGTCGTCAACGTCTGTGAAAAGCCACTCCTGCTTTGAAATGGAATTGGCCAAACAGTGAGGATGAATGAGGGTCATCCTCATTATTATTATAATTCAACGCAGTGATGTTTTCAAACTATAATTATTTAATGGAAGAGGGGCCCGGAGGAGTGGAGTGACGGTAGAGTGGTTAGCGGCACAGTAATATGAACCCAGTGGCAGAGTGATTTCTACACCGGTTCTGCCGGCCTCTTCACCAACCCCGCACTGACTCGTGAAGTGTCAGTCAAACGACCCCCACCGTCACCGGTGTGGGGAGGCCTTCATCCAGCGGTGGATCGACAAAGGGAGCTGTACCGCCGTGGCTGCCGTGGTGGTGTGCTCGCCCTTCGCCTGTCGGCTGATTCGCGCCGTCGTGTGGGACCGTGGCTCGGCATCGCCCGCCCCCTTCCTCTACGGGGGGCGGTCGCGCGGCCCCGTTGGCAGAGGATTCGCGGTTCGATCCCGGCGCCCGCCCCGGTTAACACCTGCGGCGCGAATCGACCGGAATCGTACTCCGTGCCGTCCGCTTCGCGCACAGTGGTGGCGTCACGGGTCCAAAGTGTTCCAAATGACGCCATGAATTACCGAATTTGGATTACACAGCGGAATCAAATCATCTCTCCCCCCCCCCCCCCCCTACTGGCAGGCTAACGCTGTGCTGGGTCGCATTGTACCTTTACAGGGATAGCTGCCAATGTGGGTCGTTCTATCAAATGTTTGACGCGAGCTGGGATGTAAGTCGCTTATCCGCGGGGTGTTCAAGCGATCTGAGACGCCCTGGCGCTGTATCGGCAACTAAATCGTCGCCGTTGTTATTCTGATAGTTGCCGTCCGCGTGTCCCCCGCCCCCAACCGTTTGCCACTCAGCACGGCAAAAACGGCATCTTCTGCATCGCGTGGAGCCACAAGGACTCGAAGAGGATTGCCACATGCAGCGCCGATGGATACTGGTGAGCGAAGTGGAACCCACACTCTAGGCCGGATTAATATCAATAATATTTGTTTTAGTCTATCGTGTCATTCATGCAAAGCTGCAATGCTGTAGAAGATGACAGCGGGAAAATGAAATAACGAAAAAAATATCGCACCTCGCAAAACACACAGCACAAACCAAATCGAGGTCAACACGATTAAAGGGCTGGCTCCTGCCACTCGCCCGACCCCCTTTGTCTTCTCAAAGCAAACGATGCCTCATTACTTTTCAGCACCCCCCCCCCCCCCCCCCCCCCCCCCCCCCCCCGCTCAGCCAAGACCAGTCCTATCCCAACCGCTCCATATCAATCCCTATTGTTCCACTGTCATCAAAACTACACCACCGCCACTTACAATAACCCGTTCATTCATTTCAAAGCGTTATCATCCTTTGCACAATTTTCAAATTGCTGTAAAAGCGCATGGGTAAATGCGCTGTATAAATCTCAATAGGACAAGATGAATGCGGACTGAAATATTGGACTGGACTTTAAATTGGCGAATATGCGGTCCACTCCGTGGGAGCTGCACCCGCTGTCTTGCATTTAATTTTAGGCTGAATGAGCAGCTCCATACTGGATGTGTTGTAGTTTATGGAGGGGAGGGTCCGCTTCGATAATTAATTTCCGCCCCCGCCCCCACCACCAACTTGATTGTTTCACAGTCCCCCACGCGCAATGCCAAATGCTCCGCTCTTATTGTTCAACTTGGTCACTTCAGTTCTAGGTTTTTGAACGTGATGTCACGAATCACAAAGCCAAATCGAAGTTAAAACGCACATAACGATTTGAATTTCGGGACGTAACTGGTGGCAATGCACACAGTTAATGCGAGCGATGGCTTTCGTTTATAATATATATCAAGGTGTCACCGGCCATTTGTTGAGCGGTTACATGTAGGAAGAAACCCGGATGACGCGGAGAAAACCTGCGCATGCTAGGGGTCAACACTCTATCCCATAGAGGTGGAACAAATCGAGTCCACATGTTTCTCTACCGCATTCACCTGGCAAGCCAGGCTACGGCACCTCCTCGATCGTGTGATCCACAAACCCTCACCTCCACGGCGCTGGATTAGAGGCGTGCCCCACTACAGGCCGGCTATCTTGTGAATTGTTGCGCCTGGATCATGACAATTCATCATAGTGCAGTGGCACAGAATAAGTAGTGTAGCAGCATAGCACTGGCTGCTGCCGGGGAAGGGGATATACGGATTACAGCAGCCCTGACATCAGCAGGCCAGGTGATACACCAGAGGGGATGTCTGGGGGAAAGGTTACTGAAGGGGCACGTGGGGGAAGCCCGGGAACCCGCTGGTAGGTTCTAGAGAGGGGGCGTGGCCAGGGCGGAGCGAGGCCACGCTGGGAGCATAAAAGGGGGCCCTGAGCGAGAGCTCGGGGCTGTCGTTTGGAGTGGGATCCCCGTCGTGCTGTTGAAGATCGTCACCATCGTCGCTGTCATCTTTACTTGATATTGCGCTGCTAGAGGCTAGTTGGCTGTCTCGGTTCAGCGCCGTCCGTGTAAGATGCCTAGCACTGTGTATAGGCTAGTGACAGGAGAATGTGTGCCTGCGTAGGGTGTGTATTGTGCCCAGGTTGCTCGTTAAATAAAAGAAGTGCCTCCAACTCTTAGCATCTCCGAGTTAGTCACTACATAAGCACAAGGAGTTGGAATCTTTACATGCCAAGTTACCATGTCTCCCTTACAATTAAAATATTCCATCATCTGCTGGAGTACACATATACTGTACATTGTATTCTGCAAATGAACAACGTAACATTTTATATTATTACATTAAAAAAAATATATCCCCTATGCGGTATTTTTGCACGGAACGAGCAGTTGTTAGTGAACGTATGTTTTCCAAATTTGCCAAGTCATTTTTGTTGTTGCTACTGTTGCTGCTGCTGAATCAAATGGCGTCCCCCCCCCCACCTGCCCAGCATCATCCGCACGGTGGACGGGAAGGTTCTGCACCGCTATCGCCACCCGGCCGCCGTCTTCGGCTGCGACTGGAGCCAGAACAACAAGTGAGATGGAGGGTAGCCGCATTGCCAAGGGCCCCGGTGATGGGGAGGGGGGGGGCGAGGAGACGCGATGAGCGAAATGTGGAAAGCATGCGACTTTAACTGTAAACTAAGCTATTTTTTTATTTTACCAGGTAAGGCCCCCACTGAGCTACACAGCTCTTTTTCAGAAGTGACCAGGCCACAAATGATAGCTCATTCTAAACGCAGAGGGGGAAACCGGAGGACTCGGAGAAAATCCACACGACCACGAGGAGAACGTGCAAACTCTACATATACAGGCATGAGGGGGTCGGGATCGAACCCACGACCTCCTGCACACCCGGAGAGGGAGTTAACATCTCGCCACCGCGGCGTCCCAACTTATGAAGAAACACATCTGAAAACTGGAAGGGCCTCGGCCTATGCCACAGAGAGTGGGTGGCTACCGTGTTCTCCGGATTATAATACGCTCCGGAGAGTAAGAAGGCACCCCCAAACTTGTGGCCAGCGTCGATACATCATTGGACCTCCTTTGCCAGTACCAAAATATAATAATAGGGTTGTTCCCCTTTTTTCTGGCAACCAAAACTGAAACCTTTTTACAAGGATTCGTGTCTGCATTAACCACAATACTTGCAGTCAAAATGCAAACAAAAAACACACTCTGATAATATATGCATTGTCCTTGAAACTGATTGGTCCACACCAAGGGACGGCTTTCTTATGAGCCTCGACCCAAATGGTGCTCGACCAGATGACGTCAAAAGGCGTACAGCTCAAAGACAATGCACTATCAAGGTAATGAGGGCTCGGGGCGGGAGGGGTTGGGGCTGTATCTTCCTTGCAGTGGCTCTAAACGCTCGTTCACTCACTCGCTCGGTCGCTCCGCAGGGACATGATCGCGACGGGCTGTGAGGACCGCAGCGTGCGCGTCTACTACCTGGCCACGAGCTCCGAGCAGCCGCTGAAGGTGTTCACGGGCCACACGGCCAAGGTGTTCCACGTGCGCTGGTCGCCGCTGCGAGAGGGCATCCTGTGCAGCGGCTCCGACGACGGGTGAGTGAAGCCGTCCCCACAATGTCCCCAGTTTGGCCGGGACGGTTCTCATCGTGGCCTCCCAAGTTCTCACCCGGTTAAAAAAGAAATACACTTTAAACTCGTGCGTGTGTGTGCAGCACGGTGCGCATCTGGGACTACACGCAGGACGCGTGCATCAGCGTGCTGGCGGGGCACCAGGCGCCCGTGCGAGGCCTCATGTGGAGCCCCGAGGTGCCGTACCTGCTGGCGTCAGGCAGCTGGGACTACTCGATCCGCGTGTGGGACACGCGCGACAGCACCTGCCTCGACACCGTGGCCGATCACGGCGCCGATGTCTACGGTGAGGGGACCGGCGCTGCCATAAGCCGCTACCACCACCGCCGTGATAATTGCCGTCATAACACCGATGACGATTATCTGAATTGATGCTGGGCCTCCCCAAGGTTGACTCAGCTTCAAAACGAGTACCTGGTGCGGTGTGGTGGCCAACCACCCCCTCGTGTGCCATGCCGGCTTTCATAGGTGCTCGCTAACAACACTCGCCCCAACAGTCTGTTCAGGCTATAGGGGGGATCTTTGTGTATTAGTTCATACGTGTTTGTGTCCATGTGTGTGCAGGCCTCACGTGCCATCCGAGCCGGCCGTTCACCATGGCCTCGTGCTCGCGCGACTCCACCGTGCGTCTCTGGTCGCTGTCACCGCTCGTGTCGCCGCTCATGATCAGCATCCTCGCCGAGCGGCCCTGGGACGAGATCATCGGCAACACCGGTGAGTGTGCCCCCCCCTCTCTAGTCATGTGTGTGTGTGTGCCATCCCCTCTAGCCATCTATGTGTGTGTGTGCCATCCCCTCTAGCCATCTATGTGTGTGTGTGTGTGCCATCCCCTCTAGCCATCTATGTGTGTGTGTGTGCCATCCCCTCTAGTAATGTGTGTGTGTGTGCCATCCCCTCTAGCCATCTATGTGTGTGTGTGTGCCATCCCCTCTAGTCATGTGTGTGTGTGTGTGCCATCCCCTCTAGCCATCTATGTGTGTGTGTGCCATCCCCTCTAGCCATCTATGTGTGTGTGTGCCATCCCCTCTAGCCATCTATGTGTGTGTGTGTGCCATCCCCTCTAGCCATCTATGTGTGTGTGTGTGTGCCATCCCCTCTAGCCATCTATGTGTGTGTGTGTGCCATCCCCTCTAGTAATGTGTGTGTGTGTGCCATCCCCTCTAGCCATCTATGTGTGTGTGTGTGCCATCCCCTCTAGTCATGTGTGTGTGTGTGCCATCCCCTCTAGCCATCTATGTGTGTGTGTGCCATCCCCTCTAGCCATCTATGTGTGTGTGTGCCATCCCCTCTAGCCATCTATGTGTGTGTGTGCCATCCCCTCTAGCCATCTATGTGTGTGTGTGCCATCCCCTCTCGCCATCTATGTGTGTGTGTGCCATCCCCTCTAGCCATCTATGTGTGTGTGTGCCATCCCCTCTAGCCATCTATGTGTGTGTGTGCCATCCCCTCTAGCCATCTATGTGTGTGTGTGTGCCATCCCCTCTAGCCATCTATGTGTGTGTGTGCCAGCCCCTCTAGCCATCTATGTGTGTGTGTGCCATCCCCTCTAGCCATCTATGTGTGTGTGTGCCATCCCCTCTAGCCATCTATGTGTGTGTGTGCTAGCCCCTCTAGCCATCTATGTGTGTGTGTGTGACATCCCCTCTAGTCATGTGTGTGTGTGTGTGCCATCCCCTCTAGCCATCTATGTGTGTGTGTGCCATCCCCTCTAGCCATCTATGTGTGTGTGTGCTAGCCCCTCTAGCCATCTATGTGTGTGTGTGCCATCCCCTCTAGCCATCTATGTGTGCGTGCCACCCGCTCTTCACATTTCTGCCACCCCCTCTAGTCTTGTGTGTGCCTACCCCTCACGTCAGTTGTGTGTCTGTGTCTCGGCCCCATAAGTCGTGTTGCTCGCCCCTGTGTTCACGTGCTGTTGCCCCCCTCTAGGCACGTGTGCCACCCCCTCTAGCTATGCGTGTGCCACCGTCCCCTCAAGCCACGTGTGTGATGCCGACCCCTCTAGTTATTTGCGCGCATGTGCCGCCCTTCCAGCCACGTGCGTGCCGCCCCCTTCCGACATTATAATGCTGCTGCCCCCCTTAACTCTGCCATCCTCGCTGTACGTGCCGCCTCCTTCAACCCCCGAGTGCCGCCACTCCCCTCCTCCCTCCGTGAGTGCTGCACCCAGCTGTGCTAAGTGCTGCTCCCCCCGGGGGCACGGGCGCTGCCCCTGCGCCCGCCGCTGACCGCTGCCGATGCCCCGTGCCACATCGCCGTGCTGCTCCCCAGAGCGGGTGATGTCCCCCGGCGCCCCCCCGCTGCTGTGTGGCAAAGCCTCCAAGGACATCAGGCAGGAGGTGGAGAAGCTGGGGGGTGACGCGCACGCCAAGAAGCTGCGCTGGTTCTCCGAGTTCTTCTCCGTGAGTTGCCCCCACGGTACCGGCGTGTGGTGTGTGTGTGTCTTTGTGTGTCTTTGTGTGTCCGTCCTGTGGGGAGCGGTAGTGTAGCGGTTAGTACGCTCGCGCTACGAACCCGGCGAATCGAGTTCGATGACCCGCTCACGGCCAACACCAGTGATGATTATCTGAACTGGCCCTGGGCCTCCCCTAGGTCGACTCGGCCTTAAATGAGTACCTGGTGCAATGTGTATTGCCAGTGGGGAGACAAAGGCGCACAGTTGTAGTTCTGGCCACCCCCACTTCCTCGTGTGCCATGCCGGCATTCATAGGTGATCGCTTACAGCACTTTCCCCAACAATCTATAAGGCTATGCTTGGATGATTTTTTGTCTTTGTAAATATCTGTGGGTACCCATGCATACCCGCACCTGTTTGTGTGTACATCTCCACGTGTACCTGTGTGTACCTTTGCATACCTACCTGTCCACGCATACCAGCTCGTACCTACCCGTGGGCAGTAGCATGGCCCGCGCCGTCCGCTTAACAGTGGACGTTGAAAGATTCCCTGACATAATTCGCAAGAGTTGGCGCTGTCGCATGCCGGTGTCAGGTCCCACATTCGCCAAATTCGAAGGTCACACACCGCCGATCATCATCGCCCCGCCACGGGCAGACCAGCGCTCCGGATCACTCTTGCAAACGAGACTCGCCTGCCTCTTTTTTTCTCTCGCTAGCTCTCTCTCTCGAGCCTGTCGCCCCGGTTAAACGAAGCGCGCCTGACACATGGACGGGAACGTTGTTGTTGTTGATGTGCGCGCTGCGACGCAGCCGCCGGGCGGCAGCAGGAACCTCTGGGACCTGGTGGCCGTGCTCCGTGGCCAGGATGATGGCACTCTGCCTCCCGACTACGCCAAGGGCATCATGCACATGCGGCACCTCGTCAAGTACAAGACGGTACCCGCGGCTGCCCCTCGTCGCCACCCCCTCCGCTTCGTGTCGCTTGCCCCCCGCCCCCCCCCCGCCCCCCCCGCCCCCTCCTCGTGTGACCGAAGCGCGCCATGGCCACGTTGGACCGGGCTGGTCTCGGGAGTAAACCCACGAAGTCATTTACGATTCGAGCGCGCGACGTTTTCGCTGGTGATTGCAACCACCAGCTTTGTCCGGCGATCTGCCAGGATTGTGAAGAAGTCTTCACGTTTATATTTACGCGATCTAACCCAAAACACAAAAAAAAACGGATAGCGTTGGTCGCAAAAGCAGACTTCGTGTTAACCTGCGCTCAGGAGTCGGTCAGGTTATTGGTTTTTTTTGCCCACTGCGCAGGCCGAGACAGTGCCAACTCAGAATCAGAATCTTTATTCAGACTGGAGGAATCCGATGAGCTATGAAGCTCTTTTATTTCACAAACACTACAAAAAACACACGATAGGTGTGAAAAGTATAGGTAAGGGTGTCGCAATAAATAAATACAATATATACATAAGTACAAGTTGCATAAGTACATACATTCCTGCGAGTTTTTCAACACTAAGTGCAAGCTTGAGCAAGGCAGAAACACAAGTCCCAGATCACACCAAGACAACACGCAGTCCCTCAATAACGTTGCACATTCACATTGACGTCGCGCGCAGGGAACGAGTCACAAATGCGTGTGGGTGATGGACGGTGCCGAAGCGGTGTGTCCGCACGGTCTCACACCGGCCAACGCCACGTGCACAGAAAGTTTTCGTCAGCTGCCGCTTGGCCCCAAGCCGGATTCAGATGTCTCCTTGCGAGGCTTTGGTTCCAGCAAATAGGCAGTGGAAAAAAAACACCCGTACCGTGAGGGTACCACGCTGGAGTGGCTCAGATGCGTCATCCCCTCCCCCCAATCCCCTACTTACGCCGTTCCTCTTTCTGTGCAGACCTCTTTTCCCCCCTCCTTCCTATTCTTCGCCTACTTCCTGTGACGCCCCCTTACTATTCTTCCGCCGCTTTCTGTTTTTACACATTTCCTTAATGTGCCGACCCCCTCCTTGTGCCACCCTCTTCCTGTGCTGCCCTCCCTCATGCTCACTCTTCCCGTTGTTCCTCTCCCCTTCCCTTCCCTCCCCTACCCTCGTCCGTCCCCCGCGTGCAGTCGGAAGCGCAGGAGCTGACCACGGTGAAGATGTCTAAGTTCGGCGGGGGGATCGGGGCGCCCAGCAAGGACGAGCGCCTGCAGGAGGCGGCGCAGATCCACCTGCGCCTGGGCCAGATCCAGCGCTACTGCGAGCTCATGGTGGAGATGGGAGAGGTGCGGCGCGAGTGCGTGCGCTCACAAACGTACGCACTCGTCCGAACCTCCTGTCAAACGGCTGGATGAAGGGTTCTTTAAACTATGAAGCTATTTTTATTTTACCTGGTAAGGCCCCACAGCTCTGTTTTTTTCAGACGCGACCTGGCCACAAATGAGAAAATGCAAACTCCAAACATACATGTGCCAGGGTCGATACTGGACCCTCGACTTCTTGTATACACGGCGAAGGAGTTGACATTTCACCACCGCGGTGCCCCTTGGGTTGCCTGACCGCACGTCACCACGCTGGTCAGTGCCGGCTGGCGTAGGCAGGAAGCATAGATGTGGGAGCATGGTATAGTCCAACGATGGGCTTTCCCGCACTCAAAAGTCAAAGTGATTTCCTCATCAATAATCGTTGAGGCATTGGTACTTACCTCATATTTACAGCCCTGAGCCAGTGCTCAGAATTCCACATTCCATAGGACACCTACTGTTGACTTCTCCACAAAGTGGTACTCGTTTTATCAACCCCAGAGAGCTGATGGGCTGAGTCAACTCACGACCCGGATTTGAACTCGCAGCTTTCTGAGCGTGAGCCACTCACTCGACTGCTGAGTCACGTGGCTGACCAGATCTCGGCGAGGCCTTCATCCTGCCAGCAGTGGTTTGGTCAAGGCTGAAGATGACGACGGTGAATGTTTACTCGCTGCGTTGTTTGCGTTCCTACAGTGGGACAAGGCCCTCTCGGTGGCTCCCGGAGTCTCCATGTCGTACTGGAAGAAGCTTATGCAGAGGTGCGTGCGCAGACAGATGTCCTTGCGTGTGTGCGCGCGTCAGTTAATGCGCAAGACCCCAGCGGTACAGCCATCTCGGTCAGTCAACCCGTAACACCTGAGTCTGTGTCGTGACCTCCTGTCTGCCTGCGAGCGAGCCTTCCACGCTTCACGTGACCTGCAGTGCACCTAGTCTGGCACAAGTGCTCCGGTGACGTCACCGCTGCTCTGTGGCGAATGGCGACTGCTTTGGCTATGTTGGTGGTGAAGTGGTTAGTGCACTGCGCGATAAATCCGGCGACCTGAGTTCGATTTCCAGCCACAGCTTTTACACGAGTGGCGAATTATGTCCGAACCAGACCTTTGCCTACCCTAGGTCGACTTGGCCTCGAATGAGTAGCTGGTGTGGTGTGTTAACATCAGCACTGGACACACCACCGCTGCCTCGTGCAACCGTGCCAGCTTTTATAGGTGCCCGTTAAGAGCGTTTGCCCAACAGTGACTGCAGGCTACACGAGGCATCTTTGTCAGTGCTTGCTTTGGTGTATGTATACATGTGCATGAATGTGTATGTTATACACGAGTACGATTTAGGGTCAGTGTTGACATTTAATTCTCAATTAACTAATAGTTATCATTCGGTTTTGGGGTTAGTGACCGAGTGAAGGTTAGGGGTTAATATCAGTTTGATGGTTCGAGTCAAGGTAAACGTTTGGATGAGGGGTTAGTGTTAAAGTCAGGATTAGCATCAGGGTTTAGGCTAGGATTCGAGATGGGGTCAAGGTTAATATTTGGCTTACAGTCAGGCTTAGCATTAGGTATTGAGTTTTGGGTTAGGATTAGAGTCGGGGTAAGGATTAGGGTGATGGTAATAGTCAAGCTCAGGATACATTTTCGTGGTCTGAGTAAGGGTTCGGGGTTAGTGTTCCCACGAGTGTTAAGAGTCAGGATTTGCCTTGAGGTTGGAGTCAGTGTTAGAGGTTCAGAATCAGAATATGTTTTTATACTGATGAGCTATGAAGCTCATTTTCAAAAATGTCCAGGTTAGAGTCGGGGTGGGGGTTTCTACGTCTCCTGCTCAAGCGCCACCCCCCTCCCCCGGTCCCTCCTCCCCCCATCCCCCCCCGGTCCCTTCTCGCCCCCCCCCCCCCCGTCCCTCCTCTCCCCCCCCGGTCCCTCCTCTCCCCCCCCCGGTCCCTCCTCCCCCTCACCCCCCCCGATCCCTCCTCCCCCTCACCCCCCCCGATCCCTCCTCTCCCCCACCCCCCCGGTCCCTTCTCTCCCCCACACCCCCCCCCCCCCGCGTGTAGACGTGCTGATCAGCTGGTGGAGGAGGAGGATGACGCGGTGATCCCGTGCTGCGTGGCCACGGGCGACGTCCGCAAGCTCGTCCACTTCTTCTGCTCGCGGGGCCAGCTCGCAGACGCTGTGCTCCTCGCGCAGGTGGCAGCCACGACACAAAGACAAAGGTCCCCCTTGTAGCCCACGCAGGCAGTCGGGGCAAGTGTTGCCAGCGAGCACCTGTGGGAGCCGGCGCCGCGCACGACGGTGACGGGGTGGCCGGCGACACGCCCGGCCGCCTTTGTTTCCCCCGGGGCTGATGTTTGCTCGTCGCACCAGGTACTCATTTGGTGCTGAGTTGAGCTCAGGGAGGCTCAGAACCGGTTCAGATATTTGTCACCGATATTGCCCGTCAAGGTTTATCGAACTGGGGACATCGGATTCGCAGCGTAGCGCGCTAACCACTCCTGCACATGCAGAAAAAGATTCCCCGTGTAGCCTTAACAGACTGTTGAGGCAAGTGCTGTTAGCGAGCAGCTTTGAAGGCCGGCACGGCACACGAGGGTGTAGGTGTCGAGCACCACGCTCGACCGCCTTTGTCTCCCCAGTGGCGATGTTCATACACCGCACCAGGTACTCATATGAGGCTGAGTCGACCTCGGGGAGGCCCATGACCGTTTAAGATAATCGTCACTGGTGTTGGCCGTGAACGGGAATCGAACCCAGATCGCCAGGTTCGTAGGACAGTGCGCTAACCACTAAACTACCACTCCCCACATGCACATATACACATGCACACATACACATGCACACATACACACAGAAACACTGGTGGCACTGATACGACACGCGTAATGAACATGACACACCACACGGTGCATCGTTACCCGGCCCCTCCTTCCCCACCCCCCTGCCCCCCTCCCCCTCTCCCCACCCGCCCGCCCCCCCCTCACTTTCACCAACCCTGTCCCCCCCAACCCCTTGCCCTCCGTCCCCCCACCCCAATCACCCCCCCCCCCCCACCCTCCTGCCCCCACCGCCCACCAGGCCGCGTGTGAAGGGAACATCCTGGAGGTGGTGATCCCCAGCGCACCCCGCTCCCCCGGCGACGCAGCCCCCTCCTCAGAGAGCCACGCCGGGTGAGTGGGGGGGGCCGCTCCCCCGTCGTCGCCCAAGCGATGTGCGAGGCACTGTGGGATAACATCGTCGTCATCGTCGTCGCCTTTTGCACCTTCACAATCATTGCCATCGTCATATTCGCCGCTTACTGTTCACAAGGCGCCGTCTCTATATAGTGCCAGATGCTGCTGCTGCTGCTGCCACAGTGGTGTAATGGGTAGCAGCGCACCGCACTTTCAATCCAGAGGTCTCCGGTTCGATACCATCTCCCGGCGCGCCTGTCGAAACAATGGGGCGAGTTTACTAATCCCCTCCCGCCGCGCCTGTCCACCCAGCAGTGTAGATCTGGTATGGTCGGGTAAAGTGTGGGCACTCCCACCTCTTGGCATGGAAGAGTCGGCCGAAGCGATCTTCCGGAGGAGCTGTGCGATGCGTCGCGTGAGATGCGTCGCGTGCGATGCGTGCCGTGCATTATCCCTGCCGTGTGCCGTGTCCATTCCCAGGCTGCTGCGCCGCGTGAGTGGGGAGCTCGCCGAGTGGTATTTCCGCGACGGGCAGGCCATCATGGCTGCCTGCTGCCACCTGGCCATCGACGAGGTGGAGGTGCGTACGAGCTCGTGTGCGCGCGTTGCGGTACGCTTGTGCGTGTGTGCGTGGCTAGTGGTGGCGTGGCGATTAGCGCGCTGCGTTACGAACCCGACGACCCGAGTTAGGTTTCCCATTCACTACCAATGACAGTGGCGAATATATGAGCAGGTCCCGGGCCTTCCCTGAATTGACTGAGCCTTAAATGAGTAGCCAGTCCAGTGGGGAAACACCTACCCTCTCGTGTGCCGCGCCGGCCTTAATCTGTAGCCGCTGACAGCACTTGGCCCAACAGCCTCTGTACGCTACGCGGGTGATTTTTGTCCTTTGTGCCCGTCAGCTGGCCGTGTCCAAGCTGGTGCGGGGTAACGAGCTGGAGCTGGCGGTGACTGTCGGGGTGGTGCTGGGCGGCGCCGCCGCCCCCATCGCTCACCAAGCCGCCCAGCTGCTGGCGCGCAAGTGCCTCGCCTTCAATCGCTGGTCGGTCGCCGTCATGTGGAGGAAACGCACCCCCTGGGGGTCTTGCGGGGGCAGGGGGGCGGGGGGGGGGGGTTCATCGCGAACCATTCGCTTCCCTTCCCCGTTTTCCATGAACAATGGGAAAGCTGGGAATTTGCTGGCTCGAGGCTGAGGTCTGGCCAAGAAACAGCACCCCCAAGGCCTAGGCCCAGGTGGGTCCTCAGGCATCGTGAGCCATGAGGCATCGTGAGCCATGAGGCCTCGTGGGCCTGGCCACTCCCCTGTGCAAATTACTCGTTTGGGATTATACCTAGCAATCATCACCCCCCCCCCTACCGACAGCCTAATGCTCCAGGTCTCTCCTTCAAGTGAGGCGCATACTGGTCTCTTGAGCTGTCACCTGGTTGAACGAAACAAACCTGAACTTAGCTTGCCACAAGGCGCCGCATGTCGCACGGCCACAGTGGAGGGCCGTGCAAGGCTGGATCTGGCCCCCCATACCTCTCAGCCCAGCTGGAGTGGCGGCGCCAGCCTCTCCCAAGTGGCGGCGAGAGGCAGCGGCGACGAGTGGGCCCTCCAGTACCAGCTCGCGAACGGCCGTCAGCGGCGCTCTGTGGCTCGCCCACCCCGCCATGGTCCATAGGAGCCTCGGAAACGGACAATGGACTGCGGCACAATAACAGCCATGTTTTTTATACTTTAATCTGGCCCTAACAATGATGATTGACTCTGCTAGGAATGTCTAATCCCTGCAGTAGGTCAAACACGACTCATCTCACTAGGTATGTCCACAAATAGCTCATTAACAACCGTTGTTCCTTCCCATTGTCCATGTGTGCACGTCTGTGTATTCATTACACTGAGGGGTGGGTGTCCTGTAATTAACTAATGTGTGTTCCGTAATTAGTGCCACAGATGGTCACGATCCTCTACTTTTTCCATCACCACCCCCACCGGCTACGAAGACACGATGCCATAATCTGTGCTCTTTGTTTTGTTTCCAGCATGCCTTACACCGGAAGTAGGTATAGCCCAGATTATTTCGCCTAAATTATCGCTTCCATCTTGTTTCTCACCCTTGTTTGTTGGCACAGTCTGCCTCTCTCGCTACTCCTCCACCACGCTTTTTCATCTCTGCGAAAAGTTGCTTTGGTGTCCTGTGGTGCATGACGGAGCGTCGTGGTTTTAGGTTTTCTGGTTCTTGGTGCCGCATGTTTCGTGTTTATTTTTCGATCTCGGTTTGCTTCGGTTAGATACCCTGAGCGTTCACGTGAGATGCTAAGTGTTCGTGAAGATTTCCCCGAAATTTCCCCGAACGTTTTTCAGTGGTGGTGGTGGCGAACATTTAAAAATGATGCCAAGTGTTGGAGGCGGCTGGGTGGCACAGAGGTCAGAGTGTTGAGCTGGCACTGCTGAGAGGTTGGGTTCGAATCTGAGTTTTTGGCCACCAGTGATTCAACCAAATGTTCAAGTGTAGTCTGATGTTTTTGTTGTCTCTGTCACCAATAACTGCACACACACACCCATGCACGAAATATTACGGTAAATGAGCCTAAATTCCAGCTTTGAACTTTAAACGTATCAATTTTATTCTCTGTAGCAGGGTGGGTGGGATAGTGATGCCCCCTCGTGTGTCTAAGGGGTCACTTGCAGAGGTTCCGAAGCCAGTTTTGTAATCGCCACTTCCACGCGACGTTCTCTGACACGTGGGGGTGAGTCGCTCTTCAGTGGTTCAAAACGGATAAAAGTGTGAAAGAAGATAGTAAAAAAAACAGATGTTGGCTTATTCGAGTGATCTGGGTATTTCTGCGCAAAGCTGGACATTTTTGGATGCTATTGATCGATTCCAAGCATTTGTCTTCGTGTGCACGTGCGTGCGTGCGTGTGCACGTGCATGTGTGCGTGTGCACGTGTGCACGTGTGCGTGTACGTGCGTGTGGGATGCAGGGACCTCGCTGTGGACCTCCTCAAGATGATTCCCGACAGCGAGGAGCAGCTGGTGCAGCTTTGCGCGTTCAGCACGGGGAGTAGCACCGAACTTGACGAGCTCCACCGCAAGGTCAGAGGTTCCACGGGGGAGGGGGGGGGGCGGCACCACGGTGGGGCGGCTCCAGGGGGGCAGCACCACGGTGGGGTAGGGGGGGACGTCACCAAGGCTGGGGGGGGGGGCAGCACCGTGAGGAGTGGGGGGTTGGCACCAAGGGGGGCGGCTCCAAGGGGAGTCCACGGGTTGGGGGGGGGCACCACAGAGAGGAGGGGGTGGCACCATGGGGGTAGAGGGGGGTAGCACCACGATGCAGGGCTGCATCTATATGTTTACATGCGTTGTGTGTGTGTGTATATATTGACGGGTGCCCACAGTGTGAACTTCCCACGCTGGAGGAGTGTGCCGCCCTGGCCGAGTCGCACGCGGAGGCTGGCGACGTGGTGCCCGCCGTGCGCCACGCGCTGCTCTCCCCCACGCCCGAGCGAGCGCTCGAGATCGGACTCCCCGCCGTGAAGGGTATACGCCGACACGGGGGACATGGGGACCCGGGGGAAACGCAGATATGTGCGGGGACACGGGGTGACCTGCCAGACAAAGATCCCCCGTATACCCTTAACAGACTGTTGGGGCAAGTGCTGAAGGCCGGCACAGCACACGATGGGGTGGGTAGTCACCACCTCGCTCGGCCGCCTTTGTCTCCACAGTGGTGATGTTTACACACCACACCAGGTACTCAGTTGAGGCTGAGTCGACCTAGGGTATGCCCATGACCAGTTCAGATAATTGTCACTGGTATTGGCCGTGAGTGGGAATCGAACTCGACCGCTCCCCACAGAGGGACACATGGCCACACGCTGGTAATGGAACTCAATTGGCTGGCACCTCGCGTCACTTGGAGCTACAGGGCAAAGGGGTGCGGCTACAGGACAGGGGGTGGGGCTACAGGACAGGGGGTGGATCTACAGGACAGGGGGTGGGGCTACACGAAAGGGGGGTGGGGCTACAGGACAGGGGGTGGGGCTACAGGACAGGGGGTGGGGCTACAGAACAGGAGGTGGGTCGACAGGGAGTGGGGCTACACGAAAGGTGGGTGGAGCTACATGACAGGGGGTGGGGCTACAGGACAGGGGGTGGGGCTACAGGACAGGGGGTGGGGCTACAGGACAGGGGGTGGGGCTACAGGACAGTGGGTGGGGCTACAGGACAGGTGGATGGGGCTACAGGACAGGGGGGTGGGGCTACAGGACAGGGGGTGGGGCTACAGGACAAGGGGGTGGAGACTGATGCTGCAAATGAATTCCAACTCCGCGTGAACACTTCAGTCAGGGACGGCAATTTTCGCGTGAATACGTCCAGGTGATGCTACACATGTGTTACGCGTCTCCCGCCGCACGCCTCTCCCTCCCGTTCCGTGGAGCAGAGCGGATGAGCCGCGAGGGCTGGAGGCTCGAGGAGGTGCTGCCCCTGCTGAAGCTGCTCGGCTCCATCCAGACGGACCGCCTCATGCTGCACCGCTGCAGCGAGTGAGTCACGTCAGGTGGCGGCCCCGACCCTGACCTCTTTGACCCCGCCTCACCTCTCTGCCCCCGCCGCCCCACGCCCACAGACGCTTGGGATCACCCGAGGACAGCCATTGGACATTCGGGGAACACATGGGAACAAACGAGGGGGCCCAGATAAGTATCAAGATACAACGGAGACTTGTGGGAAGGACTCCGTCGCTAGAACGTGGTTGAGGTTAACGGCAGAGTAGCATCCAAAGGGGGGAACACGGCCACGAGGACATCCACCACCGAGACCGGATGGAGTGTTTCATCATCGCAGGGCCATGACTCCCCCTATACCAACCACCTGCCTACACAGATCCATGCATCCACCGACCTGGCATACTGGGTGGGCAATGGGGGATGATCACCCCAACTCCATCCCCGCCCCTCTCTCACCCCATATTGAGGAAATCCCAATTTATTGATATCTAGCAGAGAATATACATTGATTTGTTTTATTAACATTGGGCCATAATAAAAAGGCTTGACATTTCAGGGCTCCCCCACCCACCGCCCCCCCCCCCCCCCCCCCCCCCCCCCACTGTCCCCTTGGGAAGTCCCTAGATCTTTCTCTGCCAAGGTGAGTCGCCAACTCCCCCCGTCGCCCCGGTAAGATGCCGGCCTCGGTGAGGGACGTCTACCGTCTCGATGGGAATCCTGTGGCATGGCAGGTCAGCTTTTCACTGCGCAGATCTTCCCTGCCATGATCCAGAAGGGATAGAATTGGCATTGAACGAAAGCTCCGATGCTGGACAAAGAGAAGGAACCATGGTGGAGGTTTGTGTGGCCAACTCCATTAACGAGCGTTTATACATGTGAAGAAGGAAACCAGAATACGGGGAGGAAACCCACATTTGTGAGGGGGATAACACTCAATTTCTACAGAGATATAAATTAAACCCACTTGCAATAATGCCATATCCTGGCAAGCCAGGAGACGGAGGGAGTTTCACGAACGTGTGATCTGCCAAGTCTTGCCTCCACGGTGCTAGGTTTGAGGCGTCCGCACCATCAACGCCCGGATCACCCTGCAATTCTGTTACTTCCGACTCAACAAAATTCTCTTCGCACGGAAATTCCCCACGGTGTTCGAAAAGACTTCCGATCTCCAACTCCCATCACTTGCTAACCTTTTGACCTCTCTCTTTCCCTCTCCGCACCTCCATCCCACGCCGGCATATTCCCAACCCGTGCTACCGTGGTGACCTGCGACCCTTCTTCGACCCTTCTCTCGGCCTAGCATGCGTAACGAGCTGCTGATCCTGTGCGGCTACGCGGGAGCGCTGCAGGCGATGCGCCGCGGCTACTGGGCCGTCGTGCCGGCGCTCTACGAGTACACGAGCCAGCTGCTGCGGCGCCGCGACGTCTCCGTGCCGCTCAACGTGGACGAGCTGGCGCGCGAGCTCGACGCGTGGCGCCGCGCCGGCTCTCCTGGCACCACCGCGGCCGCAGCCGCCGCCGCCACCGCACACGACTCGGCCAGGTATCAGTGGTCCAGCGGTTAGAGACGGTCATTTTACTGTGGACCCTGCAGCAAGCTCTGGAACAAAACACCTCGGCCTAAGCCTTACCTTACGAGGTGTTTTTGTTCCCGAGCCTGTTGCAGAGGTGGGTCTAGAAACTTCCCCGTGTGGGGTGAACCCTCCCGAAACGTCTTACCTCTTTAAATGTGGGCCTACTTTAATAATGATACGAATTAAAAATATGATATGCGTTTTATCATGGGAAAAAAAATGTTTATGGTTTAAAAAAAAGGGGGTGGGGGGTGATTGCTCTCATGGTCCCACCCAACCTTGGATCCCCCACTGCCACCTGCCACATCCCCGTACTGCAGGGGTCTTCTAGCCGAATTATTCTTGACTCAGTTTCAAGCGAAATATCCCATGAAGTCGCTAATTTTGGATGTGGAAATTGCTCGATAAACGCTTCTGTTTGGCCATATCGAGACGTGGAGGGCCTTTGCGACAGAAATTTGGCCCGATAATTTACGTGGCCTAAGTAAAAAAAAAATCAATTATGGAAAGTGAGTGCCATTGTTTCTGGCTGCCCTACAGAAACGCGGCACATGTTGTAGGCTGTGTTTGGGTGCACTATGCCAAGGTGCCGTATCTCGCCGTGCGCAGCCCGGAGCAGCTGGCGCTGTTCGCGGAGCTGGAGCGGCGCGTCGGCTCGGAGGAGCTGGCGGCTCTGGTTGGGTATGATCACGTGACCGGCGCCAGCCTGCCCAGCCACGCCGACCTGCAGCTCTCCTGCCTCACGGGCGCCGGCATCCAGGTGCGGGACACTTGGGCAGTTGACCTGGGAAATATCTGGGCAGTAGACCTGGGCAATGCCTCAGCAATACACCTTGACACTGACACAATAGGCATCTGTACAATGCAAGTGGACATTTTTACAATACACCTGGGCACCAGCACATGATACAACACCTGGGCACCAGTATGATTATGGTAATGATGATACTGCTGCTGCAGATTATCGTGGTGGTAATAATGATACTATTGCTGCGGATAATTGAGAATAATCATATTGCTGCTGCTGTTGTTGCCTATGGTGATGGCAATGATGCCGCTGTTGCTGACAATGATGATGGTCTTGACGATGGTGTGTACTCACAGGGCCCGGTGTTTTTTCTCGAGGACGGGAAGTCGGCCATCTCCCTCAACGATGCCCTCATGTGGGCCAAAGTGAACCCCTTCTCTCCCCTGGGCACGGGGCTACCAATCATCCCCTTCTGATCCCTCACCTCCAACTCCTTTATGTAATTACATGTATGTATGTTGAACTTTTTTCGCACCGTACGTACCCGACCGCGCTAATCGGAGGTGCAGGGGAATGATAACAAACTAAACACAAAAAAAACAGTTCTAAAGAAATTCTTTTCAATCTAGATTTAAAAGTGCATAGCTCCAGTCGTGGCCTAATATCGGAAGGAAGAGTTTTCCAGATGCCCTCAGAAGCGCACCCGAAAGCGAGCGATGCAGTGACCGTCCTTGTTCAGTGGCCAGCCACAAGCCGCTGCGAGGATGGCCAGAGTTCGCGCGATGGTTCATGCTTCTTGACGAGGTCAGCAGGGAGCAGAGCAACAGGGCCGTGGCGAGGCCCGGTGGATTTGAATAGGGGAATGGTGGAGCAACTATGAAAAAATACCCTGAAAAATGTCTTAGCTGTTTCCTGCACTCAGCCAAGGCTGTCCACAACCACTTCGCTCAACCCTTCCTACACCGGGAGGTTGTCGATGCCGTGTGCTGTGAAGTGTAGGTCAGCAGCCCATTGTTGTGTAGAGTTGCCGCCATTCAGGCACAAAAGACCAGGACATTTCTTCATGTGAAGAAGAATATCTGACAACGCCGGAAGTGGGTGAGATCTACATGTAAATGCATCGTTGTAATATTTCAGAAAGGCTTACAGAAAACCCAGGATGGCCATTACAACAAGAGGACAATCCTCAGAAAACCAGGATGGGTGGCGACCCTTCTATCATGGCCAACCCATCAAAGTGCGGAGCTGCCACTTCTGTCCCATCTCGTCTACAATAAAAGTAAAAAAAAAATATTTGTCATTAATATAAATATATTACATTTTTAGTGTTTTTCAGGAAAAGCTGTGATGGCTACCAAGGGAGACTTGAGCAGCAGGTCTTGGTTAAGGGTACGGTTCCCGAGCCTGTTGCAAGGCTCACAGTGAAATGACCATCTCTACCCGCTGGACAATTGATACAGAGCTCTCTAAGGCCTGGTCCCAGCCTTGGGTGGTTCATAATGGCTTATGGTAGGGGAGGGACGTCTGGCTAGAGAGGATGTGTAACTTGATTAGGTGGAGAGTGTGGCACCTTCACTGTGGCCTTATCGGTTTCAGAGTGATTCAACTTACACAAGAAAAATAGTCCATCTGATTTGCCCAGTATTTGCCGATGCGCTGGTGGGGTTGATGGTGGCCTGTGCTAAATAGCGGCTTTGATAGACGTCTACGTGTAAAATTATCGATATTATACAGCCTTCTTGCCCTCATGGATTTGTCTTAATAACTCCAACTTTAATGGCAGTTCACGATGAGTTGAGAAACTTTTATTGTAACTACGAAGAGCCTAAATACAAGCGTTCCCACTGGATAATTAATCAACTGGACTATTGTAAAAATGTGCCAGTTGTGAGAGCAGAGTACCAATTTGAGTGCTTGCGAGGGAAAACATGGGAATTACTAAAACTGTTTTAACTGAAGATATGTTCTGACTGAAGACACTGCTTTTGTGGAAAACGTCAGGACTTTTGGCAGGGGTTTTGAGCCCCACTCTGCCAGAGGTCTACGTAATCAAGAATAAATGTTCTTGGTTCTTTCGGGAAAGTCACGTAGAAGGGAAACAAAATAATAAAAATATAAAACAATACAATTCTCACGACGTTTCGACTGCAACACAAGCAATCATCATCAGGTGTGAAAACCACAGCAAAAAATTTCTTGCTGTGGTTTTCTTGCTGATGATGATTGCTTGTGTTGCAGTGGAAACGTCGTGAGAATTTTATTGTATATTTTTATTATTTTATTGTTTCCCTTTTACGTGACTTTACCGAAAGAACCAAGAATATGAATCCCTGCAGTCACGAAAACTTTAAATAAAAAAATCAATGTTCTGTCAGGCGGAGCAAAGCATGTCATAATGTGTAGTGGGGAGTTCGTCGATGGAGCGAGTCTTTGTGGTTCATGTTTTTGATGTCAGCACTTGTGTGTGATTACTTCTACTAAATGGGAATGGTCACGTCATCCCATGAAGGGATATTTTTTTTCCTTCTTATCTTCACTCCGTGTTATAAGCGTGTTTTTAACCATTGTACATGACAGTTCGCGACTCCGGGGAGGATTTAAATTATTTACCGGCGATGTTGGCTTTAAGTTGCGTTTTTCTGGAATGGCTGTGTTGTGTGTGCAATTGTTTATGTATGCATGTTGAACTTCTTTCGCACTGTGCGTAGCCAACCGTGCTAATGTTGGTAAAGATAAATAATTGAAGTGGGATTTATAGTTTGTGTAAACCCCACAAAACAAGGCAGACAACTGTATGTGGGTAGCATCACCACTTTGTGCTGTGCAAAGCACACACGAGGATAAGGATTTGCATTCATACGGCACTTAAATGCCCCAGTAAATCAAAGCACCTTGCATCACGTCTCATCTCAACCATTGCATTGACTTGATGCAGCATAGCCAGGGGGCACCTCCAGTGGCAGCTGTCCCTGTGCAGCACAATGTGAACGCAGCACCGGGCGGCAACTGGGCATTAGTCTGCCAGTAAGGGGACGATCTGACAAGTCGGGGGGTAATGTTAAATGAGCGCCATTGAAATACTGTATTATATATGCATCGTCCATTGCAATATGATTCCAACGTTTGATGTTATGTATCTCTTTATCTCGCAGCCCGCTGATATTTACCGCATACAATAATGTTAATGGGATTCGGTTTTTACATCACAAAAGTGAATACCAGACTGAGTAAATATTATTCAGGATTTCTTCCTGCTGTTGCTGAGCAAGAATTCTCAGTCAATATACAAATTAAGATGGAACTCTATTAAAAAAAAAACTGTTTAAGGCCAGTGGCGAAATATAGAAAAGTTTTCGGTTTATTATTTTGGAACAGAAAATGCATCCTGTGTTTGTTTATATATTAACCCATTAGTTATTGCTCTGGTGGGAACAATCCAATGACATATTTGTATTATTAAATTTGCATAGCATGTAGTGTATGCATACATTCATACACACACATATGCCATGTGTGTATATATATTTTTTCATAACCTTAGGTAAATTGCTGGTACTGTTATTATAATTATATTTTTAATATAGTAATGTTAATAGACTTTATCCAGAGAAGCCTCACTCAGTCTTAAGATATTTTTTCAGGATGGACCTGCAGGGGCATGTTTGCCCAATTCTGTCTATTTGGAACGTGGAAGCTGAAGTACCCAGAGAACACCCATGCATATGAGGGGATATCACTCATAACCCCACACTCATATTCCTTTCATTATACTGCCATCTCATTACAACCTCAGAGCCCAAGCCACCAACAGCTGGTTACTCCCTGCTGTCTCGAGTACTAACCAAGCATAGCTTCTGAGATCTGACCAGATATGGCGCATTGAGGGTGATTCCTAGGCTAATTGAAGTCATACTTATGTAAGTTGCTATGAATAGAGAAAGAGTGGATATTGACTTGGTTTTGGATGGCTTGAATGTATTTGTTAGTGTGGCTGTAACACATGAACCACATTGGATTAGCATCACAACACAAAAAAGCTAAAGATTGACGGAGATGATGCATACAATTTACGTCTTTATTACAATTAGGAATATAATTGAATTTCTTAATTCCTCTACCCAGCAGCTGTTAAGATTCATTACGGAAAAGCTGTTTAAGGAATGTGTGCTTTGATTGAATAAAACTGCCCTCGATTTTGATCCGAACTGGAATGTCCCATTTACATCGGCTCTCATTTGTATACACTGAGCTGTGAGTGACTGAGCAGCAGAGAACATTATACGGGCTGCTTCAAAAATGTTTGACACTTATATGGGACTATCGTTTTTAATGGAAAAAGAACGGATAATACACTTTAACATAACAAATGTATGCTAATAGCTTTAAACAGTCAAATAGTCTCCACTTGTTCGCCATCATTGTCAACACATGCCTGGAATCTTGTCCAGGTGTTCTCCAGAGCCTGGAGGCACATCTCTTGTGGTATTGTTGCAAATTCTCTGAAGTGTTAACGTTTTTTTTTAATCACCATGTATTAGCACCCGAATATTGATTCAGGGCTGACTTAGGCCTGCATCATCATCATCATAATCATCCTCATCATACCTCTGGGGTCAGTAAAATGAGTATCACCCGGTGAGTCTGTGCCACTTAGAAACCAACGTTTTTTTTTTCTTCCCGTGGACAGAACGAATGTCCGTGAGAGTAATGTGGAGTTTTCATCACTGATTAAGACCCCAATGGAGATGAGTACTGCCCAACGCTAATTAAATAAAGGGTATGCTTTTGATTTCAATGATCGCCCGTTTGCATCAGAGGAGCTTAAATTTATGGTGGGCTGTCTGTCTTCCCCCCCATACATGTTATTCAAATGTCACACCCTAAGGGTTTCGGCCTAACGTTTAATTTACAACGCTCGTGCCTTCACATGATATTGGTGCCACACACAGTTCTCTCTTTAAACAACTGTCATGCCTGCCTGCGTGTGAAATGTTAAAATACAGCCCCAAGGTGGATGAAGTTATTTCCATACCCAGCACATCCTTGCCAACCCTACCGCATACTGATTTTCAAAGCAAAACATTACAAGAAAAATGTTGTTCCTACAAATAAGTGGTATAATTATTGTTTTAAATCGGCATGCAGGAAATGGTCTAAATATCGGCAACCTATCGCTTAAATCGGTAGAGTTAGCAAGCTTAAGTTATTCCTTCACCACACGCATATTTTTAGGATGTCACTCTAAAGGCATGAGCAGAATAAGGTTTAATTTACAGCACGGGTGTCCCACATGATAACGGCACCATGTGCAGCGCTGTATTTAATGAGCCACCAGCGATGCAAAACCATCAACGATCAGGAACCTCAAAAGCAACTCTCTCCCCCAAAACTCCTTTGCATGCGAGAGGGAGAATGCTTGCGCCGGGCTTAGTGGCTGGAGACAACGCTGGCGGTGGTGGAGTGGAGAGCAGCGCTGAAGCCTGAAGATTGGCGCACGTGGATTTCCCGGGGGGACCCGCCACTCCCCACCGACCCGCGCAGCTGAACAGTCGCCTGTGGCCCTGCGTGGAAGCAAATCAGAATCGTTATTTAGACAGGAGAAATCCGATGAGCTATGAATCTCTTTTTCAAGATATGTCCAGCAGGGAGGGATTGGGGACTCACTCTGGCGATTCCCGGTGTCACGACGAGAGTCGTTGACGCTCGACGTGAGACTCGCCCCACTTCCTGTGTCGCGAGGCCGCTCCGCCGACAGAGGAGGCAGCCGCACAGCCAACTCCCCCAGTGTGGGGCGCACGTCGAAGCGGCCTGGAGAGAACGACACACTAGCGGTAGTAAGCAGGGCTTCATTTCTCACCAAATACTCTCCTGTTCGCTTATAGACTGGTGTAGTATTGCTCAACTAGTAGCCACAGCAAGAGGTACGGTGGATGTGTTGTACCGGATGCGGAAATGTTTTCCGGGTCACCAAATCAGAGATCTAGCTGCATTTAAGCCAATGAGCATATGGATAGTTAATCATTTGTATTTTCTCCTGGCATATCTGAGCCGACCCACCATGGAGCTCTCAGACTATGGGTTGTTTTCCACTGGCAATTGGCCGTGTCAAACTGTGACCAAACCATGATACGCTGGCCTCCGAAGTAATCTGAATCGACTTCAGAGCCAATAAGGACTAGGCGTTGGGCTAAGGACATGTCTAGCGTGTGTGATGCCAGTCAGTACAATTCCAGTACAGCGTCACCGTTTGATCTCTATGTGTCTCGACATCACAAGCTGCGTGGAACATTAGTAGCAGGGCACGGCTTCTGTAGTAGAAAAACAACCTGAATGTCATGACCTACATGAGCCTGGCTCGGCACAGCCTTGGCACGGCTCGGATTCGCCAGTGGAAAAGAGGTATCGGTTTACCACCACAGCAGTTTTTTAACCGTCGCCGGGGTAACACTCACAGGGGTCCTGTTCCCTCTCCCGCCGCCTCTGGGCAAGATGATCGCGCAGCACGACCTCTGCTCGCTGCCTGGTAGCCACCTCGCTGGGTTCTGCCAACAGCTGCGTGAGCCGTACGTTGCTCTTGAGCGCCTGCGATGCCGTGGAACGGGCATGCATGGGGAGTGCCTGCTGGTAGCGGGCGTCGGTGAACCGTGGTGCCTCGGAGTTGGATTCTTGCACCGTGCCCGTTGATCCCACCGCACGCTCCTCGCTCATGGCGCCCTCCCCACCGTTAATGCTCTTCACCCTGTCGCGATGGGCAGGACCGGGGAGAGAGACTTCCTTGGAGAGATCACAATATTGGGAGACTTGCTGGAAGTTCATCTCACCCCGCAACCGAATAGCACGGTTGGCTATGTACTGTATGGTGCAAAATACATTCAAGATACATACAGTGATAGTGCCAGCCTACTGCGAACCTTAAACAGAAATTATTTTGTGGTGCATGATGGGATGACAAACATTATTTCCAAATTTCTGCAGCATAGAAATTGGAAATAATGGAACTTCCACCACTGGCTCTGGCTAACTTACATAGATGAGCTTTGCCCTTTAAAAAAAGCAATGAGAGACATTCACGTTGGCTTGTTAAGTCGTGGCGCTGGTTCAGCCCTCTCGGTATCCGCACCGTCTGTTGGTGAGCGTGCTGTAAACTCGCTGCAGGAGCTGCTCTGCTGCGCCTGGTTTGCGGTGCAAGGTCCCGTCCGTCAGCTCCTTGGAGAAAGCCAGGCCGCGTTTGGCGAAGAACTGCCGGTCGGATTACAAAAAACGCAGAAAGCACTCTTAACGAGTCTTAAATGAAGGAAACAAATCAATTAAATAACTGTTGCATTGCACACACCACCCAATGTGTGCGTTCTCAGAGAAAAATACTCAGACCTTGGATGCATTCTCCCACTGCAGTCCATGGGTCAGATAATAAATTGGTACCACCTAAGGTAGAAAAACCTTTGTAGTACATATGTATCTTTATGGCGAATAAGAGTGAATTATTTGACAGCCCACTCATTTCAAATCACATGATTTACTGTTATTGGCCGCATAAGAAATATGAAACCACCAAAGTTATGCTACCTCAGGTGGTACCGACAAGTGAAATGTCTGGTCTGGAGGAGGCCTTGGAAGTGCTTTGCTCGCCCCCCACCCCTGTACCCCCCCTCCCCCACCGCCTGTAACCCCCCAACCCCGCCAGCGCATACCCGATGCAGGAGGCTCCAGTTGGCCAGCTTAGAGGCAAGGGATTCCCCGGGCTGGAAACTGTGCATGAGCAGATCCCCTGGGTAGTACCACGAGAAGATCTCAGCCAGAACAAGGCCATTGGACAAGTCTCTGCAATGCACGGAACAAACGCGGGTTTGTACAGGACAAATATCATTACAATATACAATTAAAATCTGTATATTATACTTTTTTTTGTTTTACACCAGAGTTTTCAAATGAAAGTCAGCTGAATATATTATTAAATATGGTACTTTATTTTTTACTCCAAAAACAATTGATTTGTTGTATATTTAACCAGAGGAGAGCCCTTGGAGAGTCATCATCTGTGCATACTCTTAGGTCCGGTAATTGATGGCAAGCTTTTCAGGTGCCTCACCCCAACACCAGCACAGTCCAGCGCGCTGTCTTTGCTTTGGTGGTGCCAACGTTATGGGAAGGTCTGCCTTTACCGTATTACTGCATCGACGAGGTCAGATCAATCGAAGAACAGACTTAAGACTTACTTTTTTTAAATTGGCTTTGAACAATTACTCATTAATTAGTTGAAAACATCTTACTACATAGAGGACTGCAAAGTTCGGGCAATTGTTGACAGCGCCCGCTCACCGCTTGTCGGTGGTTCCTCCCCAAGCCTCTGAGTCATTGTCTCTTCGAGAATGAGCAAATGCGGTGCAGCTCATTAAAAGTTTAAATTATGATTAACTTGTATGCATTTTTTTAGGAAAGAGACATTGAACGTTTATATTGGCATACACCATTTAGTTGTACGTTTCTTGGTAAGTGATTGGTTGTTGTTATCTTTATAGATTTGTGGGAATTTGGTTCAAATGTTAAACTAATAGGCATGTGCTTCAAGATGTAAGGACATGAGAAGGGTGTCAACAAATATCAAGTGATAAAGATGGATCATCTCCATTCAAAGGCAGACCTCCCCATCAATCAAAAACATGATTTGCTTTACCAAGATAAGGGACCATTGATACAAAAAATATTTTTCAATACAATATAGAGCTTTACAGAAATTACATATTTTAATAATTATGGGGTTGTGTGGTAATATGAATGATAATACATGTTCTGTAATTTTAATATGGGAGGGTTGTTAACATCGTTTTTTTGTATTACCGGCAAAACCCTTTGTAAAACACAATTCATCTTTACTTGAAGCTTTCGTGACTGCAGGAGTCCATACTCTTTGGTTCTTTCGGTAAAGTCACGAAAGTAGAAAAATAAATAAAAAATAATATATCCAGACGTTTCGATCGCAACACAAGCGGTCGTCCTCAGGCGGGAAAATAATAATACAATTATCCAGTTGGTTCAGCGGTTCCACTGATGGATTATTTTTTCCGGCTGAGGACGACCGCTTGTGTTGCGATCGAAACGTCGTGATAAATTATTTTTTGTTTTATTTTATTTTTCTACTTAGGTGACTTTACCGAAAAAACACAATTAATTCCATATGTCACTAACATGTTTAAGTAAAGGTCATAAAAATAAATGTATTGAAATCATTGTTTTAAATTAATTCCCACTAAGCCAATACTTTAGTTGAATACAATCAATAATTAATCAAAATATCTGAAGTTTTGAAGAAAATAAATCAAGAAATGCAGCAATAAATTCGATCATCAAATAAATCAAATCAAGACATCCGTCGTCAATAAATTGATTCTATCCTGCAAAATAAAAAGTCTAATTTTAATTTAAAGCTTTCGTGACTGCAGGGATTCATATTCTTGGTTCTTTTATTGTTTCCCTTCTACGTGACTTTACCGAAAGAACCAAGAATATAAAGTCTAATTCAATCAAGAAATAAAATACGTCAACACAAATATTAAGTCTTGATTTAAAGCTTTCGTAACTGCAGTGATTCATATTCTTGGTTCTTTCGGTAAAGTCACATTGAAGGGAAAACAATAAAATATTAAAATATATATAAAACAATAAAATATTAAGTCACCAACTCACATCAATAAACGAAAAACCCAAAACAATAAAATGAATAACTCATTCGATAACCATATCACGTAATAAAACTAAATACACCACAGCATGCTATATAATAATGGCACTAGAGTTTTCTCCAGGTATCCCAATGTCATCCCACACGCAGAGAAAAAAACTTTCGTTCATGAAACTGGCCAAAACATCCCAACCCCTCCTCCGAATAAAAGTGAGGCTTTCAAAAAAAGAAACACAAAGAAACGTAAAACATTTATCTTGTCGTGGTTACTTTGGGGGGTGGAGCGGTGGCGCAGGAGTTAGCGCACTGCGCTGTGAACCCAGCGGACCCTGGGTTCGCTAACATCGGCGGCGACTTACAGCCGAGCTTTTCCTGGGCCACCCCACACGCAGTGGTGACCAGCGCGGTGAAGTATGGTAAAACTCTTTCGGTTAAAGTCACGTTGAAGGGAAACAATACAATAATAAAATATATATGAAACAATAAAAATTCTCACGACGTTTCGACCATAACACAAACGGTCGTCATGTGTTATGGTCGAAACGTCGTGAGAATTTTTATTGTTTTATATATATTTTATTATTTCCCTTCAACGTGACTTTACCGAAAGAGCTAAGAATATGAATTACTGCAGTCACGAAAGCTTTAAATCAAAATTTATGGTCAAACTGTTCCGATGGCCTACGTAGCAGTGGGTACACAGACGCAGTACGATTCCACTGTACCGTATTTATATCCTTTCTTAATTGGGTATAACTTATTATAAAGTATTGTATATTATGTAATTTATGTTGTGTGAATCGAGGAACGCGATGGTTAATATAGATATTTTGCAACGAATCCATACAATCAGAAAATTAAGTATTTTCTGAATTAAAATAAATGAATGGAACTTTACAAGCCCCCGTTGACCAGCGTGGTGAAGTATGGTCAAACAACCCCCACACGACCCGAGCCGTTCCAGCAGTTCAGCGCAATAACCAAACGCCGATGAATCGCGATCTTAAATCCAACATACGCGGCGCCGCAGATAAACAACCTCGCGGTGACAACGCTCACAGCCCTTGAACCAGGCTAAGTTCACCTGCGCGCGTTCCTGAACTGCACGGTCAGGTCCAGGCTCTGCAGCCAGCGAAACACCTCCCTGGACAGCCCCGTCCTCCTCGGCAGGGACTCCACCAGAGACATTTTAAACCCCGCTATCAAACTATCGGAGTCCACCCCCCACCTCGCTTCGTTCGCTCCATTTGAATGAAAATTTCAGCCGCGTTAAACAAAACTTATAACGTGGGCAGCCGGCGGCGGGGGGGGGGTCCACTGTTGCCACGGCAACCCCGAGTTTGTTTACCCGCTAACATGGCAACGCCTGTGCCGCGCGCTGATTGGTCGCTCGCGACACCCCCCCCCCCCGGGCGAGTGACGTCGCCAACGGTCGTCGTGGCGACGGCCATCTTGCTATGGGAGCTTTAAAAAAACATTTCTATTTATGAAATATCAAGACTTGTTGATGTACATACACGCAGTGTATTGTATTGTTTATTCCACACACAAAAACAAGCGAAAGACAAACAGTGCAAATAAAATACAAGTTAAAAAAAGGTGGTGCAAGTGAAGTTGGAAACCCAAGAGGGCTTATATGAAAACCACACACAAAAATAACAATGTACATTGTATACGTTGCTTATTTATTTGGTTAGTTATATGCTCAACGACAACCCGAATGAAAATGTCGCGTTACGTCCTACATCGTTTTGGGTGGAACTGGAACCCAATTGTTTAGCAGGAGAGGGCCGTTATTAATTTTTCGATAACATCTGAGAGTTCAATTTCGATTTGAAGCTTTCGTGACTGCAAAGAAGGCTACTTGTGTTGTGGCCGAAACGTCGTGAGAATTTTATTGTATTATTTTGTTTTATTGTTTTATTCTCATTCTACGTGACTTTACCGAAAGAACCAAGAAGATGAATCTGGGAGTTCGCCAGCCCGATTGTCGATCATCAACATTGTGTGTCAAAACCGGATCACAGTTTGCTTTTTGAATTTGTGCTGGAGATAATATAGCGTATGCATTTTACTCTGAGATACACAATGAGCAATGGCAATGGATATTGCTCATTGTGTTTACTGTCCGTTGAACTTCTTTCACACCATACGTAGACAAACCGTGCTTATCGGAGGCGTGGAGGAAGGACGAAAGACTACATTAAATTACTATAATTTTAACACGTACTAGGGTTTCGTAACCAATATTCATAATATGTTTTTTCGGTTAGATCGCGTAAATATAAAATGTGTCGTTAAACCCGCCACCACCTGACACAGCCAATTAGTAAGGTTTGTCACGTAAACAGAACGTGCCAATCTGGCTGTCGCCTGATGATGTTGGCCCTAATTACCGGTGAAACGTCGTACTCGAATTGTAAATGTCGTGGGGTTTACTCTCCAACACACGGGGCGTGCTGTCCTAGTGTAGTGTGATAGTGCCGTCTGTTGTCCAGCAACGGAAACTGCGGTGGATGAGAAATACACACGCCGGTGAGCACTAACGCGGGTGTGTCAGCATGGTGGAGGAACTGGGGTCAAGGGTCACGGAGACCCACCGTCTGGAAGCCCTTGGAACGGGCTAGTGGGTTCGAGAAAGGAGGCGCGACCAGGGTAAAAGAGCGGAGAGCGAGAGCTCGTGGCTGCTGGTGCTGGGATGTGGACTCGTCTCGTCATCGCTGTCGTCTTTGCTGCCTTCGTCGCTGCCCTCTTCCCGAGACAATTGCGCCGCCGGATAGTTGTTGGCTGTCTCGGTCGGCGCCGTCAGTGTAACACGGTCAGGGTTGTGTCGAGGCTAGGCTATACGACTTGGAAGGAGCGAGGGTGAACCTGTGAACCTGAAAGTGTTTAAATAAAGAAGGTGTCTGCTCAAGAATCCTGCCTCCCGCTCCATTGACACTACACCAGTAACGAATTGGCATGTTCTGTTTACATGACAGACCTTACTAATTGGATTGTTACTATCATTATATTCTACACAAAGCGCCCTGGTAATGGCTTGCGAAGTTACAACGCTGTGGAAAGTGTCATTTTATAGGATGCTCATGATTACTGTGTTATGGGAGAGTTCTGTATGTTGTCTATGGTGATTATGATTATTGTATTCCCAGGAAAACCTCACCGAGTCGCGAGACTTGTTTTCAGGAGGGTCCTGCCTCCTGCCGACATGTCCCAGTCGGAGGGCGATGGCGCTAACGTGCAATCCCAATTTAGTAGTTTGCAGGTCACACTTCAGGTCATCACTTTTTTGTCATCATTTTTACGCAATGTTTTTTTGCTCCAATACCAGTTACATGGTATGGTGTTTGTAGCTGTGGGAGGACACGGAGGAAACTCATGGAGCACAAGGGTAGGACATTCAAAGTCCACACAGATGCCCGAGTTGGGATTGGAAATGTGCTACTCAACCCTGCTGGTTGATAAGTCGATGTTACCCGAGACGTCACGATTGAATGAATTGGCCCTGCTCCCACTATCAGTAACACGGGCGTCACTTTGTTGGTATAGTTCTGTATTGATGAAAGGTTGTGGATTGTAAGGTTGTTAGTTTGTGAGGGATGGCGACTTGCTTGAGCGAGCCTTCCTCCAGCAGTGGATTGATCGTGGCTCATTTTGAAAACTGATATTGAGTTATCGGTTCCTTTTCAAATTTGGTATTCCATATTTAGCGGTATAACAACTGTATAGAATCAAAATACTGTACTGTATTGGTCTTCCTTTTTGGTCTCAATGGATTCTGAGCAGTGGCGACTCGTGACACTTCCACTAGGTGGGGCTGTTGTGAGTGACTCTGAAAAGACGGTTTTCCAATTAGGAAAAACCTCGTCGTGTTATTGGCCTTCCCGTGAAAGCGATACAACTGTCCTATCCACCAATGCTAGGCATTTTATAAACAATACGAAACAAAAACAACAAAACACTCAAACGCTATCCCCATGACCCTGAAGTCCACACTACACAAGCCCTTTGACGCTACCAAAAACCTAGAGCGTGTAGACCGTGAGCTGCTGTATTTCCCCAGCGCGACCTCACGTTGTGACATCGTCTCATTACAGCCACGGGCGCTTTTTTTCACCATCGCCCTCAATGGGTCTCAAACGGCGTGGCCAAAATGCTAAAATCTGATCGCAGTGACTGAAGAAGGGAAATCTCTCACTCGGACGCCTTCACGGCAGCCCCGAGACCTCCCCGAGGCACAAGTAAGATTGCGGCGTTCCAGCGGTTTCTCATTCGAACAACTTTAAATGTTATCTTCATCAGCCAATTAACGTTGAAATAATCATTGTATTGTAATATTTTTAAACACGAAACTATTTGTAGGAAAAAAATTATATTAGAAAAATAATTTATAATCTCCAGCTGCTTGGTGGGGTGGTGCCCCAACGTCCCTAGTGGACGAACCGCGGCTGATCCTTAGGGTCATCTAGGAATTTGAACTGATGTATTTGTAGTGACATCGGGGATGTCACTGTGCGATGTTCCTACGTCGCGGACAGCACTGGGTGGGTTGCTGTGTGAGGCCGGCTCTAGCACAGCACGGCGTGCGATGCTAGAGCCGGCCTCGTGTACACCCCGTAGGTGGGTGTAGTACCAGCCCTAGCGGGGCTTGGTGAGCGCTGGGACAGCGCCGGCACCACGGATAGCGTGCAGTGCGGGCTCCCACAAGGGGGAGTGGGAGAGTGTCGGCCCAGGGGCAGGGTTACCACGGGCCATGGCACTCTGGTTGACCCCGTAGACACGTGATCTGGAGTGTCCACAGAGAAGGCCTCAGGTGGGGGGGGGCGGCTAGGGGGTGATCACGTGTCCAGGGAGAGCTCTCGAGGGTTGATCGAGAGGAAGCTAGAACGCTCGAGAAGGCGGGCGGGGCCGAGGGCGGAGCGGCCCCAACCCGGGAGGATATAAGGTGGGTCCTTGAGAGGGACCGGGGTCGCTGCATTCTACAAGCTGGAAGCTCTACGAGGCATCAACACGTGGCTGGGACCCGAGTGAGGGTCAGACCCTTTGTAGCTGTGACTCCTCCGTATAGTGTAGTTAGCTGGGTGGTCACCACCCCTAGGCTGTATCTGGTAAAAGAACAGTTACCCCTTTGTGTTAACGTGTTGGTGTTATAATAAATGTGTTGCCTTTAAAGAAAAACGTCCGCGACTCAGTTGGACTCACTACAATTGGGTCGCGAGATACGACGGCGGCACGGCGGCGGTGCCGCGGCTGGCGCGCTACTGCGGCGCGGCGCTGCCCGGCAGCGTGCACTCGACGGGGCCCACGCTGCTGCTGCAAATGCGCACGGACGGCGAGAACGCCGGCACCGGATTCCTCGCCAGCTTCACGGCCGAGAGGTCCACGCAGCCCGCAAGATGCCGCCTGAGGCGCGCGCGGCCAGCAGCGGCTGGCGGGGCCGTTTGTGAAGGGGCCGAGGGAGCCGAGGGAGCCGACGGAGGGGGCCGACGGAGCCGAGGGGGCCGACGGAGCCGAGGGGGCCGACGGAGCCGGGGGGGCCGGGGGGGGCCGACGGAGCCAGGGGGGGCCGATGGAGTCGGGGGGGGGGCGACGGAGCTGGGGGGGGCGGCGGAGCCAGGGGGGGCCAACGGAGTCAGGGGGGGCCGACGGAGCCGGGGGGGGCGACGGAGCTGGGGGGGGGCGGCGGAGCTGGGGGGGGGGGCCGACGGAACCAAGGGGGGGGCGACGGAGGTGGGGGCGGGGCCGACGGAGCCAGGGGGGGGCTGACGGAGGTGGGGGCGGGGCCGACGGTGTCGGGGGGGGGGGGGCGACGGAGCCAGGGAGGGGCGACGGAGCTGGGGGGGGCCGACGGTGTCGGGGGGGGGGGGCGACAGAGCCGGGAGGGGGGGCGACGAAGCCAGGGAGGGGCGACGGAGCCAGGAGGGGGCCGACGGAGCTGGGGGGGGTGACAGTGCTGGAGGGGGGGCCGACGGAGCTGGGGGGGGGGGCGACGGAGCCCGGGGGGGGGGGGGGCGACGGAGCCAGCGGGGGGCGATGGAGCCGGGGGGGGGGGGCGACGGAGCTGGGGGGGGGCCGACGGAGTCAAGGGGGGGGGGGGGCGGGGCGACGGCGCAAGCAGAGGGAGCCGACACTGACTCACTCACACATCATACACTGACTCACTCACACCATGCACTGACTCACTCACACCATGCACTGACTCACTCACACCATGCACTGACTCACTCACACCATGCACTGACTCACTCACACATCATACACTGACTCACTCACACCATGCACTGACTCACTCACACCATGCACTGACTCACTCACACCATACACTGACTCACTCACACATCATACACTGACTCACTCACACCATGCACTGACTCACTCACACCATGCACTGACTCACTCACACCATACACTGACTCACTCACACCATGCACTGACTCACTCACACCATGCACTGACTCACTCACACCATACACTGACTCACTCACACCATGCACTGACTCACTCACACCATGCACTGACTCACTCACACCATGCACTGACTCACTCACACATCATACACTGACTCACTCACACCATGCACTGACTCACTCACACCATGCACTGACTCACTCACACCATGCACTGACTCACTCACACATCATACACTGACTCACTCACACCATGCACTGACTCACTCACACCATGCACTGACTCACTCACACCATGCACTGACTCACTCACACATCATACACTGACTCACTCACACCATGCACTGACTCACTCACACCATGCACTGACTCACTCACACATCATACACTGACTCACTCACACACCATGTACTGACTCACTCACACATCATACACTGACTCACTCACACATCATACACTGACTCACTCACACCATGCACTGACTCACTCACACATCAGACACTGACTCACTCACACATCATACACTGACTCACTCACACCATGCACTGACTCACTCACACCATGCACTGACTCACTCACACCATACACTGACTCACTCACACCATGCACTGACTCACTCACACCATGCACTGACTCACTCACACCATGCACTGACTTACTCACACCATGCACTGACTCACTCACACCATGCACTGACTCACTCACACATCATACACTGACTCACTCACACCATGCACTGACTCACTCACACCATGCACTGACTCACTCACACCATGCACTGACTCACTCACACATCATACACTGACTCACTCACACCATGCACTGACTCACTCACACCATGCACTGACTCACTCACACATCATACACTGACTCACTCACACACCATGCACTGACTCACTCACACATCATACACGGACTCACTCACACATCATACACTGACTCACTCACACCATGCACTGACTCACTCACACATCAGACACTGACTCACTCACACATCATACACTGACTCACTCACACCATGCACTGACTCACTCACACATCATACACTGACTCACTCACACCATGCACTGATTCACTCACACATCATACACTGACTCACTCACACATCATACACTGACTCACTCACACCATGCACTGACTCACTCACACATCATACACTGACTCACTCACACATCATACACTGACTCACTCACACCATGCACTGACTCACTCACACATCATACACTGACTCACTCACACATCATACACTGACTCACTCACACCATGCACTGACTCACTCACACATTATGCACTGACTCGCTCATCATGCGCTTACTCACTCACACATCATACATTCGCACAACCACTGACCCATTCACTCATCATACACAGGTTCACTCACTGTTTGCTGGCTCACTCGCACATCATACACTGACTCACTCATCATGCGCTGACTAACACATCATACGCTGACTCGCACATCATACACTCACTCACACTGCCACTGACTCGCTCACACATCATACACTCGCTCACACATCATTCACTGACTCACTCTTCATACGCTGACTCGCACATCATACGCTGACTCGCACATCAAACACTCACTCACACTGCCACTGACTCGCTCACACATCATACACTCGCTCACACATCATTCACTAACTCACTCTTCATACGCTGACTCGCACATCATACACTCACTCATGCTGCTGCTAACTCACTCATCATACGCTGACTCGCACATTATACACTCACTCACTCTGCTGCTGACTCACTCACACATCATACACTGGGAGTGTCGTGCTGCCAGCTATGGCTGCAGGTTTTGTCGTACGTATTATGTATATCGTTTATTGTTAAATTTAAAATCACAGTTCCTATGATTACTGTTGTTACATTGTTTTTACAGCTTTATTTTGGTGATTCGAAAACATATGGTTAATCTAAATTGTCTTATGGTTGTTATTGTTGGCTTGCACCACATTGATTTTAACACACAGCGTTTTAATACGTTTTTTGTGTGGAATATTTGCTGGTTTATTCCAGAATGTTTCTGTTACGCATTGTCGCTTTAAGATGTTCTGTGTTCAAATTTTGTTTGTTGTGGTTGCACCCGACTTAAGAGCCGCATGGCTCACAGGGCAATACCTAATAAATGAAACTTGAAAAACTTGAAACATCTTTTATACGCGTGATTTGTATCTCCCATGAACTTAAGAATCTCAGGTAAGTTGCCATCCAGCAGTGAAAATGTATGTATGTTGAATAAAACTGCTGACGTTATTCAATAATTAACGGAATCGTAAAATTAACGGTCCGTACAATGTGCAATTTCCCCCCACAATTTACACTCATTTTGCATTTAACTTAATTACATTAAAAAAGAACACATTTTGTACGTGGATATATACCTGTACTGTATACGTTTTTTCCTCACGAAAGGTATTGCAGTACTAGTGCATTGTGCCAATGAACAGTCACGTCAAATGGGCTCATACAGTTAAGTATTACTTAGTTGAGGGGAAACGTCACTCAAAAAGACAAACATTTGAGATAGATTTCAAAATCCAGCCATATTCCACTGACAGAAACTGAAATATGCTTCGCTTATTCGGAATAGGTGCAGGAGATGGGCAAAATTGAAATCTTTACACTCGCAATAATTTTGCTTTGCACCCACCCAAGTTTCAAAAAGGTCTTAGATTTATATGTTGCATCATTCCTCAGCCATGATCTGCCGCTGTAGCGGTTTTATGCGGTGAATTTTTTACTTGAATATATGAAATTTTGATTTAAAGCTTTCGTGACTGCAGTAATTCATATTCTTAGCTCTTTCGGTAAAGTCACGTTGAAGGGAAACAATACAATAATAAAATATATATAAAACAATAAAAATTCTCACGACGTTTCGACCATAACGCAAACGGTCATCATCAGGTGTGAAAAGCAACGGCAAGAAACATTTGTAAGAAGTGGCGGCTTGTATTTATTTAGTTATTTTTTAACGGTGCGTTTATTTATTTAAAATACGTTAGCGCCACGGCCAGCGATTTGGCAGTTTATTTAGAAGGACTAGTCCATCTGTCCACTATCCGTCATCATAATCAGCTCCACTATCCATAAGGAATATCACAGCATCATCGCTGCTGCTGCTGGTAATGACCACGACCACCATCATGATCACAGTCATCATAAATTATAATATACAACACGCACATCATCTGTACACACTTCCATGATTATCAACGCTTGTTATCAATCGTTACCATAATACACACGTATATAATAGCCCAGTTAAAATAATAAGCATGCCTCCTCCTGGTGCATCTCCAAACAGATGCTTAGAGCCTTCTATGATTACATCTCTGTAAATCTCCCGACTTCCCGATTCAAGAGCCGAATGGCTCACAGGGCTATACCAAATAAATGAAACTAAACTATGAAACCTGTTAAAGGCCAAATTCTTTCATGTAATGATTTTTACATGTCATTTAGATTAGTTTACACAAACACTCCATCCATCTGTTCCTGGCCCGGCCCCTGTGTCAAATTTTAGAACCCATTGTGGCCCGCGAGTCAAAAAATTTGCCCACCCCTGCTCTAGGGTTTGGTGTTCTATGTTGTTTGTCGTTCATTGTGAAAATTAGGTCACAGTTCCTATGATCACTGTTACATTGCTTTTATGGCTTTATTTTTGGTGATTTCGAAAAGTGTTTTGGTTTGGCCATGTTTTTTGCTGTAGTACGGAGTTAGACTGATGGCCTTAATCTAAGTTGATATTAATCTAAGTTGTCTTGTGGTTGTTGTTGTTGTTTGACTTGCATCCCACTGGGATTTTTGCACACAGCGTTGGTGTACGGTGCTATTTCAGGAATATTTTGATGTTTTTTTCCCCTGGATTTTCTGTTTGCACAGTCACATAATCACTTTAAGATGTTTTCTTGTTCATGTTTTTTGTTTGTTGCGGTTGCAACCGATTCAAGAGCCGAATGACTCACAGGGCTATACCAAATAAATTAAACTGAAACTGAAACCACGTGTGTCCACCCGCCGTGCAAATCTCGCGATATCTTGCAATTCATCGCGCTCTTAAGATGCCGCGTAATCTCGCGTGATCTCGTGGAGGCGGATCTCAGTGGGCGGAAGCCCGCCCACCGCTCCATTCATCGCGCGCGGATCCCTTTTATATTCCCTCCCACGTTTGCGCGCGGCATCCAATCAAACGCGAGCGTCGTCGCACCACGGGTTCGCTCCCGACCAATCGCCGACCGGCAGCGCGTCGAAGCGCTGTAGGCTTTTAGAGGCAAGCGCGGCCCCGGTTTGGCGCGCATTGTTACAAGTAAAGAAAGTAGCGAGTTTGTTAAATTTTCCATTTTAATAAACAATCTTGCTTCGCCCCGGTCATGTCCGAGGACGAGAAGAGCGCGGCGGAGGCCGAGCGCCGTCAAAGCGAGGTGAGGGAAAATGGCAACTTTGTTATTGTTGTTAACCCCGAGTCGCAGAGAGACATCGGCCGCGCCGCGCCGCCTCCTCGCGGGTCTCTCTGCGCTCTCCCCGGGTGGGCCGGCCATGCGAGGCCGAGGCTTTTCGGATAGCGGTAGGCCGCAGCACGCGGTGGCGTCATTATAATGATTAACTTTTAAATGAGTGTCGTTGTTTAGTTTGTATTCTTCAGTTCTCCGTAGCGTGATTTTATAATAACGCAGTATGTGTGCTCAAGATGGGAACGAATAGTCGTGGAGTGGCAGCCAATGATTGGAACGCGTCTGGGTAGGACGTCGACCTGGGTTATTATTACATCGCAGGATCGTGATATGATCCCCCTCCCCTCCCTACATTAAATGATTGTTTCGTTTGTTCAATTTGTTACATGTCGGCCTCATTCTGTTATGAGATTAATGTATGTAGAAAGCAGAAGGGCGGCCTCTGGAATATTTGTGTTGCCACTTCGTTTGATTTACGCCGATCTAGACGTTTGTTCTTATCTGGTTTTTTTTAAACAATACTGCGTAATAGTGTCCCATTGACGCCGAGGTTTGCAACGATGTGCGCCCTTGTTACAGTACTTGCATTGCGGTATGGAGGTGTGACATGGCCATCAAATCTTAACGTTTCGTCTTCTGATCTGGAATGTAAACAGTCAAGGGAAAAGCCGGCGACTCGCAATACTTGAGAGAACACGGTGTAATCATGGTTGAGCGGAGGAACCCTAGATTAAAACCCATGTTTTTATTCTTGCCGGCTCCGCTGTCTTGACAGGCACTGAACTATCTGGCCAACCTTACATTATGCATTTTAAGTGACGTGCCGCTGTTAATGTCGATTAGTGAATCGTGTTGAAGGTTCCTCCTTGATGCTGAAGCCGCTCGACCGATGTTAAAATTGGCGTTGTCATTGCCATTTGGCCCGGTTAATAGTCGCAGTGTTATTCTTCCGGAACGTCTCGATTAATCTCAAAACTCTTTTTGCAGGAGTGAGGGTTCTGTATCGGAGCTTTATGACCAAATCAACCGGAATACATTGATGTTAACGGTTACATTTTCTGCAGGTCGAGGGCCGCCTCACACCCTGCGTGTCCACCCACTCGTGCGGGTTATTTGACCAGACACTTTATATTACTTGTCAGTACTGGTTGATGAAGGCGGTGTGCATCGACTTAGAAGCATAGTACTTTGCAATTGTAGGTTTTTAGCTGCACTGCCTGCTTGCTCACAACATAGCAGCCCGCTACGCTTAGTGGTCGACCATTAAAGTACGATCAAATTACTGCTTAGCTTCTGACATCTGACGAGATTGGACGCTTTGTGGGTGATTTTTCCGTAAGTACGTATAAAATCACGTACATTCATAAAAAAAAAACTTTCTTACAAACTAAATTATTTATTAGGCATGAATGAGATTATTCAGTATCCCTTATAATCTAAAGAAGGTCCATTGTGTGTGCGTGTTATCTTTGTACCGCTAACAGGACATTATATGCCGGTGTACAAATCAATTTACTAAATTTGCTAATTATCTGACACTAACAGTCGATACAGAAATTGCCAACAGGTGTGTAACTATGGTGTTTAGAAGATACATATATAATAATTGGCTTCTAATCTGGTTAAAGTATTGCACGTATCTATGTGTCGGCCTTTTTTTTCTTCAATCTACCGGTACTGCTGAATTAGAGCCTCCATATGCCTGCGTTGGTCATGGGGATTATTTTACTGTTTAGTTAGTTAGTGTTGGTTGATGAAGGTCGGGATCATAGACATGAAAACGTAGAAGTATTTTACAGGTACAAAAAATGTGTTTGCCATCCTGCCATTTTTTGCCCACCATAGCGCACCACAGCCCGATGGTGATTGCCCATCCAAGCAGAATCCAGGTTCAACCCTGCTTAATTTTCTGTGGCCGTGTTGGGTCATGGCGGGTCTTATAACACAAACGTATCCACATATTTACATAGCCTAACCCAGAAATCAATTATGAATCGTCACGTTGACTCTAAAAACCTATGTGTCAAATGAAAGTACAAATTAGCATTCAGTGATGCGACCGTGGACGTATGAGTTTTGTCTAGCTAGTATTTTTTGTTTAATTCACGGCTGCGAGTGCGTGAGCCTCCCGGTCGGCGTGCAGGTGTCTTTTGTTGTTGTTTTGTGTAACCTCAACGCGACTGCTGTACATCCCCTCAGGTGAATGATCCATCGTTCTCGCCAAATTCCCCGTCAAGAAATGCCGTCCCGAAGCCCGAGACCAAAGCACCAGACCCAGAGTATGAGAACAAGATGGTGCGTACTGAATGAGTGGAATGGAAGGAAACATGAATGAGTTTTCTTTTGGCATTTAACGATTCATCCTACCCACATTCTGTTATAAGATGATATGTTACGATTATATTATTAAGTCGATGTTTTTTTTTCATGTTTGTACCGGCTAGCGTGCATCTTCGTTTTTTTGGTCTCATTTGATGTCTCATTAGCACTGTGAAGGGTGACACGGCCGAGTTGAACGCATTTGTAAATGTTATATGGAATGATTTCTTTGACTCTTGCCACTGTTCAAAAATATATTTTATTACGGAATTGAATTATGAGCCGGATTTGTGACATTCCATTGAATTTCTGAGGTTGGGTAGGGGTGAATACGTACACCTCAAGTTTGTATGCGCATTTGTACTTATCAAATACTTCCATCCTCAACCTCAAGGGAGACTTTGCAGGAAATTTGCATGAAACAAAAATTACTTTTTACGGGCACATTTTGATGCATAGATTGAGAGGGCAAGAAAACATTTGCATACATAATTACTCGAATGGAGCGGTGTACAGTTATTAATGCTCTTTCCTATGAACTCTGCCACCTGCGTTCAATTCGTTGCTTCATGTAATGTAATTTAGACCAGCCTTCTAGTCCGATTATCCAAATAACTAATAATATAAAAAAGTTAACTGATATGTATTGAGTTTTCACCCAGCAATGTTTAACGTGTTTGAAACGCAAAATACGTACAATCGCAGCACCGACGAGGATGCTAACATCAACAGGGATAATGTAATGGCTCATGTAAATGAAGCACGCTTTAGCATCGGCGCTCTCATTAATCACGTAAATGATGCGTGTTAAATTAGAAGGGTGTCGTTCCTGGGCTTCATGCAGCACGAACATTGATTTGTGTGATGCTCGGCAAACCACAGCTCCTGATTTCCTAAGATGAATTGTTACCATTTTGGTTTTGCAAGCTGTGATTTTCACCTCAACAAAACAGGACATAGATGTAGCATAGAAACATAGGTTACATATCAATAGAGATGTCTGTTGATAGGCAGAGCCAAAGTAGAGACCCATTCATATTCTTGATAATTCATTTGTATTATTGCAGCAACTCCACTGCAACTCCAAAACAATATTTAGGCATTCATTATGAAACTCTTGTCGATTGCGCAGTGGTTAGTGTGTAGCACTACTAACCTTACCCGAGTTCAATCCCCAGCCTCGGCTCACAGCCGTGCCAAGTGAAATCTGAATCGGTGATGGCCCTTCTCTTCCTTCCTTCATTAACCTGCACTACATTTTCTTTAACCCAGTAGTGCATGGCGAAACCTTGAGAGATGGTATGCTCATCACCCGTCCTCACCCAGATGGCTCCGCTTGGATTGCGAGTGCTGGTGAAACCCTATGTGGTAACCTTGAGCCAATTAATTTTTTTCCCATCCTTCCCGCCCGTGGGCTGACCTGCCGCAGAAAACGGATCGCTCGAACCGCTTCGAGTACCTCCTTCAGCAGACGGAGCTCTTCGCCCACTTCATCCAGCCGGCGGCGCAGAAGACGCCCACGTCGCCGCTCAAGCTCAAGCCTGGGCGGCCGCGCGTCAAGACTGACGAGAAGCAGAGCCTGCTGTCGGTCGGCGAGTGAGTTCACTCGCCTCCCACACCCACCACAGGGGTCTCGTCGAGCCGCCCTCTGTGGCCCAATTGGAGTTTTCACGAAAGAGGAAACCGTGCCATGGGGAGGGTTTGATGAGCGTGTAGCGGCGGAGGGTTGTGTTTGTTTGCTTTTAGTTGGAGGAGTATACACATAGCGGTGTGATATGCAGTGATGGGGTTTGATTGTGTAGTGCTGTGTTTGCATCATGGTGTGCTTGTGTAGTGGTATGTGCTTATGTAGTTGTACTTGTGTCGTGGAGGGGTGTGCTTGTGTTATTGGAGGTGTGGGGGGGTGCGCTTTTAGCGGTGTGTTTGCATAAATGGAGTTTGCGTGTGTCGTGATAGAGTGTGGATGTGTGTGTGCGGTGTTGAGTGCTCTGCATTGGTTCGAATGTGGCTGGATATTACTGGGATGTGAGTGATGGGATTGAAACCCGGATTCGAACCCAAGATCTCGGGCCTTGTCAGCTTGTGCTACATCTTCCTACAGTTGGCGACTGAAATAGTGGCGTGATGACACTGATTTCTTTACTGCCCTTGTGTCCCACCTCCCCCCTCTGCAGCTACCGCCACCGACGCACGGAGCAGGAGGAAGATGAGGAGCTGCTCTCCGAGAGTCGGAAGAGTGCCAATGCTCTCCTCCGCTTCGAAGAGTCCCCTTCCTGTAAGTTCCCTCACCGCCATGTGGCTCCTTTGGTCGCTTGGTATAGCCCCGAAATGTAAGGGTGGGTTCACACTACATTTTTAACTTGCGTGAATTGACCGCTTGGTACCTTACGTGAAAACGCGTTCACGCCACCGCAATTTAACTTAACGTTAGTGTCATGCGGTTTGTCATGTCACGTGTGATAAATGCTTAATCATCACTTGATTGTCACTTGTAAAATTTCAAAGCCTGTGGCTCCCCCACCTTTGTGCCACCCCCACCTTTGTGCCACCCGAACCCTGCTCACAATGTTTACCTCTCACCACTTTGTATGTGCACGCATGAATAGGGCAAGGTGGCATAGTGGTTCGTGCACTATGTTACGAACCCGGCGGTCCAAGTTAGATTCCTGACCACGGCTAACATCCGTCGCAGAAATTTGAACCAATTCTAAGGCCTTCTCTCGGTGAACTCAACATAAAAGGAGTACTTTTAGGGTGTGTCAACATCAGAAAAGGTGAGACAGGTGTCTTTGTGTGTGCTTACAGATGTGAAGTGCGGCACGATGAGGGATTACCAGGTCAGGGGTCTCAACTGGCTCATCTCCCTCTATGAGAACGGCATCAATGGCATCCTCGCCGATGAGATGGTGGGTCCTCTCCACCAGTGCCTCTGCGACACCCACCACCTCTAGTTTTTGTCATGTGTTTTAAGATGGGAGCTGGGCTATTCTAATATTTTAGCAATCATTTACCGAGTATTGGTTTGGTTACTCGGCTCATCGGATAACACAAAGAACAAATTTTGATTTAAAGCTTTCGTGACTGCAGGGATTCATATTCTTGGGTCTTTCGGTAAAGTCACGTAGAAGGGAAACAATGAAATAATAAATATTATAAAAATATAAAACAATAAAATTCTCACGACGTTTCGACTGCAACACAAGCAATCATCATCAGGTGTGAAAACCACAACAAGAAAATTTGAAAAAAGTGGCCAATTTTTTCAAATTTTCTTGTTGTGGTTTTCACACCTGATAATGATTGCTTGTGTTGCAGTCGAAACGTCGTGAGAATTTTATTGTTTTATATTTTTATTATTTTACTGTTTCCCTTTTACGTGACTTTACCGAAAGAACCAAGAATATAACACAAAGAACAGTTGAAAGTAGTCTCAATTATCTTCCCACGTGTGTCTCTGGACGAGAGGTTATGGGGCGGGTCTTGTTGGCGTCACTTACATCGTCCGAAGTGTCTCTGAGCAGGTCGCTCCCACATTGGAGGGTCGTGGCGGGGGGGGGGCAGATTAATCTACCATTAAAAAATAGTTACAATATTTGAGTTATTGATTTAATAATTTCAGCTGTAGATTTGAGACCGGAAAAGAAACACATGTATGAGAGAACAAAGGCAAGGTATTTGCGTCCTGTCATCTTGAGAAACTAAGTGGGCTTGTGCAGGACACAAGCTTAATACAAGTTAGCTTGTGGTTATGACTTTTAAATGTATATCTGTGATTTTGTCTATTTTGTCATTGAAACCTTTTTTGTTGTGATAATGACGAAACAGGGTCTGGGAAAGACACTGCAGACGATCTCTCTGCTGGGCTACATGAAGCACTACCGCAACATCCCAGGCCCCCACATGGTGCTGGTGCCCAAGTCCACGCTGCACAACTGGATGGCCGAGTTCGAGCGATGGGTGCCCTCGCTGCGGGCCGTCTGCCTCATTGGAGACAAAGACCATAGGGTAAGCGCCAGCCAGCCCATCGTTCCACCCATTGGTCAAAAAATACTCATGGGCACATCCGCCCATCGTGCTCAATGCCGGTCGGCACTCCTGTCAGCCCAGGCTCCTGTCCATATGGAGCCATATCATGGTACGCAACCATCAACACACGCCCATGAGAAAGCACACAAAGACAAAGATCCCCAATGCAGACAATGTTTACACATGGCACCAGGTCTTCATGAGCCAACCTAGGGGAGGCCCTGGATTGATTAGCCATGACTGGCAATTCAACTCTGGTTGCCCAGTTCGTATACTAGTTCACTAATTGTACCACTGCTCCCTGAACCCAATACCACAAATACTCATCAACACACATCCATCGGCACATAAACTCCCCCACCATATGTGTAAAGTTGACCACGTGCTATTGATAGGAGTTTCACAAAGTATGTGCATACATTTTTATTACATTCATATAAAATGTACAATTTGACATTTTTTTAATTTTAGATCATTTAAATGATATAATAATTTAACATGTCTTGACATCACTTCCTGTGCGGTTATATCACTTCCATCAATCTGAAAAATACATAGAACATACATATATACTCATAATAAAATCTAGTCGCACCCTACGCATCTGACAGTTCTGTGATGCACACTGACGCCCGCTTGTCGCAGGCGGCGTTCATCCGCGATGTGCTGATGCCGGGCGAGTGGGACGTGTGCGTCACCTCGTATGAGATGATCATCCGCGAGAAGTCCGTCTTCAAGAAGTTCAACTGGCGCTACTTGGTCATCGACGAGGCTCACCGCATCAAGAACGAGAAGTCCAAGGCGAGGCCCCTGCGCGCGCTCATGGCTTATTGACCACGGCCACCTGGTCACGCCTACCCGGGGATGGCCAGCCGGTTACGGCCAACTGGTCACGGCCAACTGGTCAAGGCCACCCGGTGACCATCACCCGGTCACGGCCACTCTATCACAGCCACCCAGTCACAGCCACCTGGTGACGGACACTGACGACCAACCCATTTGGTCAGAATCAGAAAATGTATTTATGAATACTGGAGGAATCCGATGAGCTATCTAGCTCTTTTTCACAGATGTCCAGTATTTACAGATGTCCAGTTGTCAATCAGAGCTTGGTTGTAGCCTTCAGTGGATCGGCTTGAATGCACTCATTCGAGAATGGAGAAGGAAACATAAATTTGATGTTGGTCGGTAGTTGGCGTCGTGGACGGTATGTAGGCTGATGTTGTAAATGGCAAAAATATGTATATTATAATATATTTCCCCACAATTTAATCTCATTTGTGCTATCGGTGTAATTTTATTACACAAAGTATCAGTTCAGATCTCTCGCAGAGCAGTGCAACCCTCCGTGTTACAAGGAAGCGAATGTCACAGCTATGTCCGAGACCCATTCAAGTTACCTTGGGTCCAGGCTAGAGTCAGTACATTCGCACTTGCCCAATTTGATGACTTGTTACAATGAGGGATTATGATTTGCTTTGCAAAACAATTTCTTTGGTCTTTGTGCATGTAGAATCGATCGCCGTTGCAAGAGTGTCCATTCAGTAACCCCTTTCTCCACATATAAATTAAAGTTTATTCTTATTTTTTATGGAAATCTCATTTTGAACACCTATATTGTCACATCCATATTCAGCATTGAATGTGAGAGCGCAGAAACAGTTGAACCAGGTTTCTGTCAGTCACGATATCAAGATGAGTGTTCCTGTCCAACCGGGCACCTCTAAGCGTTCCGCCTTCGTTGTCTTCTGTCCCACAGCTGTCTGAGATCGTTCGAGAGTTCAAGACGACGAATCGTCTGCTGTTGACGGGGACGCCATTGCAGAACAACCTGCATGAGCTGTGGTCCCTGCTCAACTTCCTGCTGCCCGACGTGTTCAACTCTGCAGATGTGAGGCCCCATACTGCCCACACGCCTGCCCTCTTTCTGACAACCCCACAGGCCAATAATGAGGCCCTGGAAAAACTGCCCCACCACCGCCCTGTTTTAGTTTTTTAAACATTTACCGAGGCGGCGGCGGCGGCTCGTAACGGTGCTAGAGACACTGAGCCGGGACCATTTGGAACCTGTGTTTGAATCCAGGTTTCGACCGTTAAGCCGGAAGTGGAGTGAGCTGATGGTCTCAACCAGTGACGACACACAAAAAAAGCCATGCAGGCTTGCGTGCGGTCACATCAGATTGTAGCAAAAAGCATTAAAACTATTGTGATAGTTTAACGCATTTTGCACTGTGTAGTGTTATTCTTCCTTTTGCTTGTAGTTGATTTGTCAAAAGGAATACTTGATGTATCAACCAATTAGCAAGATTGTTGTCCTTCCCCCACACCTCCGATTAGCATGGTTGGCTACATACGGTGCGAAAAAAGTTCCACATACATACGTTTTTTGTGAACTACAGTTTATCATCCCCCACAGGATTTCGATTCGTGGTTCGACACCAACAACTGCTTTGGCGACCAGCAGCTGGTTGAACGTCTGCACATGGTGAGAATCTGTCTTCTGTTCAACAATCGCCATGGGTTAGCACCTCTGCGTCCTCATTTCGAATTTAGATTTCAGTGGCCTGTGATTAAACCTGTTCTCAAGTGTGTTGAATTGATGGTCTAAGCCTGGTCAATGATGACTGATAAAGAACCCCAACGCATTAAGTTTGGCTCTGTACTTAATTCTATGGAAGGGGGACTCGGAACCGGAATAGGATGTTACTCACCACTATTATTAGCTGTGGCGAGTAAAGTTGAGTTTTATTTTGCCAGGCTACTGCTCTCCCATAGATGTAATCCACTGCTCTCTCTTCCTCCTGTTATGGCACCTCAGGTGTTGCGACCATTCTTGCTGCGTCGCATCAAGGCGGACGTGGAGAAGAGCCTGCCCCCCAAGAAAGAGTGCAAGATCTACATCGGGCTCAGCAAGATGCAGCGAGAGTGGTAGACTCCTCACCCACTTGCAAACATGAGACCACACCCACCCCCCATAGTCCAGTGCCTCGACTGGCTACCAATACAATCCTGGGTCCATTTCAAGATTTATTCACCGTCTTCAAGATCCTCCATGAACTCCGCCTCTGCCTACGTCTCCTCTCTCATCTCGCTCTATTCCCTTCCACGGACTCTCCACACCAGGAAACAAGCGTTTGCGTCGAACCCTCCTGTTAAACATCGCTCAGAGGAAGGTTGCTCATTCTCCTGTGCTGCCCAAATATTCTGAGACTCCCTTCCCTCTACCAACCTCCATCCGTGCTGTCATCTCCCTTCCCATGTTCATGGCTTTTTTGTTTGTGCCTCACTGCCTCTATAAAAATAAATTTACTCATTGTGTCCATTTATTATTGCCTGTAGCCTTGCCACCATGATCCTCTCGCCCGTATGTCTCTCCTCAATCATTTTGCCCTCCTGCTCCACAGGTACACAAAGATCCTGATGAAGGACATTGACATCCTGAACTCGGCCGGCAAGATGGACAAGATGCGCCTGCTCAACATCCTCATGCAACTGCGCAAGTGCTGCAACCACCCGTACCTGTTTGACGGCGCGGAGCCTGGGCCGCCCTACACTACGGACACCCACATCGTCATCAACAGCGGCAAGATGGTGGTGCTCGACAAGCTGCTGCCCAAGCTGCACGAGCAGGGTGCGTCCGGAGGGGTGTGGCAGTCTGCTCGGTCGTTGGGAGGCGCGGGCAGGGCTTGTGGTGTCTGGTCGGAGAGCAGGGCCTGTGCGAGTGGTTAGGGCAGGTGGCGGGGAACCTACGGCCCATGGGCCACGCGAGGCTTACCGCTTTGAAATTGCCCATGCGCAATATAAATCCATCACTGCAAGAATATTGGCTGCACTAGCTCAAAAACTCGTGGGAATATTGTACGCTTTGTCACCTGTTGTCTTTCATGTAGTTGTGAGCACGCAGCCAATGCAAACAGTCCTCGCGTGGTCAAAGATTCGTATAAAATTGTGTCCTGACAAAGGTATTTGACAGGCGTATTTGGTACTGAGTTACATGGGGATCTTTGTTCTGCAGGGTCCCGCGTGTTGATCTTCAGCCAGATGACGCGCATGATGGACATTTTGGAGGACTACTGCATGTGGAGAGGGTACGAGTACTGCCGTCTCGATGGCCAGACGCCGCACGAGGACAGACAGGTGACTGACCAGCAGCAAACATGCACACACACGCATGCCCATTTGCATGTTTTACCCAAACTAAAGCCATACGCACGTTACAGACATCGTATTAAGTGTTCAGAAAAGCAAGTGGCCTTGAAAAAGGCACGTTGTTAGAAGGGATCGTGGTCAGTGGTCAAAATTTATGATATACCAGGGCCTTTAAAAAGTATATATATATTTTTTTAATTGTATTTCAATAAGAGCCCGATACAGAGCATGAACCGCGAAGCAGGGAGGGTGTACAGAAACTCTGCGGACATCGGTCCCGTCCTCTGTGCTCCTGGGTTTAGAGGAGGGAGGAGATGGGGCTCATTGCCCCACCAAAGTGGGGGACCGCGAGCGGGGTATATTTACTTTTTATGTGGGGAGGGAAAGATGAGGGAGGAAGAACTTAAGTAAGAGAATAGAGGGAGTGGGGAGAAGGAGAGGGGAGGATATCAGGGCCTTCTTAAAAAAGAGCCTTGAGACTCGGTCAGACTTCTAAAATTATTGTACGTTTAAGGAACGAACAGGATAGGAACTTAGAGGTTTTTTGGGTTCGATCGCGTAAATATATAAAAGTCAACTATTAAGGGTTGTCACGTGAACAGAACATGCCAATTCGTCACTAGTACAGCACACTGGTGTGTTGGAGAGCCAAGCCACAACATTTAATCTGAGTACGATGTTTCGCCAGTAATTACAACCAGCTTCATCAGGCAACAGCCAGATTTGTGGAGAAGTCCACCTGTTTCGTTCCTTATATAGAGGCGTAGATGTGGTGACTACGCTTCTGCGCTCTTGCGCCAAGTGGGGGGGGGGATTACTGAGTCAACGTACATTATGCATGCACATTATGCGAGCCCTTCCCGTCTATTGTGTGTATTAGAATAGCCTACCAACAGTAATCTCTATTGAAATAATTTATTATTTTATGATTCGCTCCCACGCAGCACTAAGGCGGTAGCTATCCGAACGGTTAACATTTTTTAATTTCTTTCAGTTACGATAGATTCTCTAACTAGACTTGGCCAGTAGTAGCTAGTTTTTGCACAGAACTTCAACATTATCAAAATCAATTGAGTGTTCTTGTGGGCACGTGTGTTCTGCTACTGCTGACAGTTGTATTTGGGATACTTAAATGTTTCTCTAATGTTATTTTGGTCTCGTGCTGATCATTAGTCCTGTTTGCCCAACATAACATTTACCACATGTGCAGTTAATCCTGTACACACCTTGTAATGTTAGCTTCGATATTAATTTCTGTATTTTATGTACCATGCCAAATCTGACTCGGAGTTTTGTTTTTCCAAACATTTGGCTAGTTTATCAGTTACTCCCGCAATGTTCGGTATAATGCTCGTGTTATTTGATTTGGTTTTGGCATTCAATGTCCTGTTGATTTGTGCATCATTGTAACCGTTCATTTGCAGCGCTGCATTAACGTGTTGAATTTCACTTCTCAGACAGGACACGTGTTACAGTGACAGCAAAACGAGTTCATTACATTCTTGAATAAATCTTAAAAAGGAATTCGTCACTTCCTAAATATGTCAGGTCCCTCGTGAAAAATAATCTCGACTCCATAAGGCTTTCCTATATAAAGAAAGAGCTCTGTTATTATTAGAGATAAAAGAGAAACAACAACATCACCATCTGTGTGTGGTGGTGGCGGCGGCGGCACTCTGCGCGCAGGTATCGATTGCCAGCTTCAACGCTCCGGACAGCAGCAAGTTCGTGTTCATGCTGTCGACGCGAGCTGGGGGCCTGGGCATCAATCTGGCCACAGCCGACGTGGTCATCCTCTACGACTCGGACTGGAACCCCCAGGTCGACCTGCAGGCCATGGTGAGGCTGTCTCCACTGCTTGTGGGGACGCGCGTATACCTACCTATATGTTTGAGGTCGCGCGCGTGTGTGGGCGTCGGCGAACGCCATCTGCTTAATTATGGCCGTCACCGTTGTTGGCGGTTGTGGCTTTTGCCTTCGTCGTGATTGTAGATGCTTTGGTAAACTGCAACAGTTGTCTGTCGCATTTGTTTTGTTGTGGCGGTTCTTGCGGTTGCTGCAATTGTTTGGTCACTATCGTTTTGGGAGTTGTCTTTTTATCACGATTGTTGCAGTTGTATTGTTTTTAATCATTTTCTGTTTTTGTTAGTTGTGGCGGTTGTGACGATTGTCTCCGTTGTGGCTGTCATGGCTCTGGCATTCTGGATATTTGCCGCGGTGGTGTCTATTGACTTTTCCACCCTCGCCGTGGTGGCCACCGTGCCCCTCCCCACCTTGGTGACCCTGTGTTTTCCGTGACCCCGCAGGACCGAGCTCACCGCATCGGGCAGAAGAAGGTGGTGCGTGTGTTCCGCTTCATAACAGAGAGCACGGTGGAGGACCGTATCGTGGAACGTGCCGAGATGAAGCTCCGCCTCGACTCAATTGTCATCCAGCAGGGTGAGCGCTCGTAATGGCCATGCCCAGGGGTCGGCAACCTGCGGCTTCGGAGTCGCATGCGGTTATTTACAGACCACTTAGTGACGTAATGTATGTATGAGTGACCCCCATGACCAATGAGGCATGGGGAGGCCCCTGTCTTACACAGCCGACGGATCAAAGTCATTGACATTCGTAGTGTTAAAATAACATGCCATTAACCGTTAAAATATTCCTTCAGTGCAATTGTAACGTGGCCTCTGGTCCACACTTAACTCCACTTCCTCTCCCTCACGACCAGGCCGCCTGGTGGATCAGGTGGCCAACAAGCTGGGCAAGGATGAGATGCTGCAGATGATTCGCTACGGAGCTACGCAGGTGTTCTCTTCAAAGGAGAGCCAGATCACCGACGAGGATATCGACGTGATCCTCGAGCGCGGGGCTAAGAAGGTGCGTCCCTGCACACTTCCTGTGCGTCGGGGATGTCTTCCACTGCCTTGCCCTGTATTATTGTGCCTTGCCCTTTCTTGTCCTGCTTTGACGAGCTTTCCCCTAAATCTCAATGCCTGTCGTTGCCTTGATCTGCCTTTGAAGTGTCTCCATGATGGGTAGTCCCACATTTATGGCTGTGTTTCTCACTCTAGCAGACTTTGTTTATTTCTGTCTCGGTGTATTTATCTCCGTCTGTTTCTTGTCCCATTGACGATACCTGTGGCTGTCTGTCTTTCCCCATCTCATTGTATCTTTATAACCGTGTCTTTTATTTCAATATCTGTGTGTCTTGGTGTGCCTGTGTGGCTGTTTTTATACATCCTAATGTCTATCTCTATGTGTCTTTGTCGGTGGTGTGGGCAGACGGCCGAGATGAACGAGAAGATGTCCCAGCTGGGCGAAAACACCCTGCGCACGTTCACCATGGACACGGAGTCGAGCGTCTACAACTTCGAGGGGGAGGACTACAAGGCCAAGCAGAAGGTGATGGCCCTGCCCAACCAGGAACCACCACCATGGCCAACCTGAACCACCACTATGACCACACACTGCAACCACCACAGCCTCAACACCATCACCACAACCAACACCACAGTTACTGCCGCCATAACACCACCACCATAACCTATAGCAACACCACCATAACACCATCATTACAACCATCACGACCAACTCCAACACGACCACCACACTAACACTACCAAGACTACCTCCATAACACAATCATCACCATAACGCTACAAGCATAACACCAACACGATCCTGATTTCCATTGACAACTGCCGCAACACCATTATTACCACGACCACCACCCTATAATCTTTTAGTGCACAATTAAACACATTGATTGTCCACGCAACACTTGATTATTTTACATGCATATTTATGTGTGTTTTTGGTCGGAACAAACGAGATGGAACACAGAGTACAAACGACCAGACTTTAGTGGTGGTGGTGACAGTTGTGGGTCATTCCTTGCTTGCTTGATGGAGTGTGCTTTGTGTTTCTCCACCCCCACTGCAGCTGAACATGACTGAGTGGATTGAGCCACCCAAAAGAGAGCGGAAGGCCAACTACGCGGTGGATGCCTACTTCCGGGAGGCCCTCCGTGTGACGGAGCCAAAGGCCCCCAAGGTAGGGTCGTCGCTCGCCCATCCACCCAGTCACTTGATCGCTTGCTAGCCCAGTCACCCACTGTCGCTCGCTTGCTTACCCAGTCACCGGTCAGGGCAGGCCGGGCGGACTTGTTGCCCCGCACGTGCTGGAGGAGGAGGCTGTCACGTGGCTCTGTGGCTACGTGGGCTAACGTCTACGTACATCACACCGGCACCCATTTATTTATTTATTTCCCTTATGCGCATGGTGCTCTTGTGTAAAAGTCACATGTAAAAAAGCATTCGCTCACTAAAACCGGTCACTCGGTTGCTCTCTTGCCCAGTTACCCGGTCATTCGTCACCCACCCACCTACTCGCCCACCAAAGCCACCTGCTGATATTGCTCATTTGCTTTGTTACTCAGTCACTCATTCAGCCACTCCAGTGAGTCTTGTCACATGCTCACTCGAGAAGTGAACCCATTCACTTCTGACCTTGGTGTGTCACGTCTGCTGTCTGGACACAGGCTGTTGCTGTAAAGTAAACACGAGAGATATATTGATGCATTTAGTAAAATGTATTGTGTTTGTGGTTCTCGCGTAAAATTATTCGTGTAAGAATACTATTTACCATTGTTTCCAGTTTTATTTAAACAACTGTCGATATGACAGCAGCTTCATAGCACCGTAGATTGTGTGGATTCTACATGCACTGTATTGGGATAAAAATACTCGATTTGTGAATAGAATCTTGGAAGTTCATCCATTTCAGGGAGGGGATGAATCGTCAGTTTTCTGTCTTATGCAGACCATGCCTGAGTGCCATTATTTAATTCCCTGTGCATTTCGAGAGTAGTAGAACCTCTTAAACTCCAGTACTGTCTGCGCTGCTCTGTGCAGAGATAAACATTTGGCTGCACATAGCGTCTGTATCAAACCCCCGACGCTTGTCCTTACCGTGTGCAGGCACCGCGCCCGCCCAAGCAGCCCAGCATCCAGGACTTCCAGTTCTTCCCCCCGCGCCTCTTTGAGCTCTTGGAGAAGGAGATCCTGCACTACCGGAAGACCATTGGCTATAAGGTGAGAGGCCTGTGTGTCCGCAGGGCTCCAGATGACGTTTGGCACACTCACCACTCAATGGGGAGAATGGGTGCCCCAAGCTCGCGTGTATGTGTGCGTGCGCGTATACCGCCTTTGTCACTGGGAAGACAAAGGCGGCCGGGCGCGGTGTTTTACACCCACCCCCTCCTGTGCCGTGCCGGCCTTCATAGGTGCTCACTAACAGCACTTGCCCCAACCGTCTGTTAAAGGCTATACGGGGAGATCTTTCTATTTGTATGTCAGTGTATATACTGGGGCAAACATTTAGGTGTATGTATATTTGAGTGAGAGAGTTTATTAGTTTGTGTGTGTGTGCGCGCCTGTATGGGAGTGTGATTATGCATAATTTAGGCCTTAATAGATGCTCGCTCACAGCTTGCCTCAACAGTGTGTGTAGGCTACACGGGGAATCTTGTGCATTGTGTGTGTGTGTGTGCGTGCGCGCGTTTGCACGTGTGTGTGCCTGCAGGTTCCCCGGAACCCGGACGTGCCCAACCCCGCGGTGACGCAGAAGGAGGAGCAGGGAAAGATCGACACGGCTGAGTCGCTCAATGAGGAGGAGCTCGAAGAGAAGGAGAAACTACTCACACAGGCAAGCACATCGTCAACCTCATTGTCATTAGTCATCGTGTTCCTTCTTTAACCTCGTCATACCATGGCAATCGCCACGAATATCATCATCATCATCTTGGTCATCTTAATTGTCAGATTCACCATCATTGCCAATCCAGTCGTTGTCAATCATGTTGGAATGTAAGCAGGTTTGAACCTGGACAGCACTTGGATGGGTGACCACCATACACAGCATGGCTACGGGCTGTGGGGCTACATGGTGGGCAGTAGGTTCACAGCCCTGGTGTGGGGGAAGCCCTAATCCAGCAGTATATTGACAAAAGGGGCTTGGCGGGTAAATCATGATTGTAAGCATGGCTTAAAATTCCTGTAAATCGACCACGTTGCACATCTGCGAGTTGCACAGCTTCGTCGAGATGCGCGCGCCCTCGTTTGGACGCTTTGTAAAAAGTCAAATTGTGTCGGCACGTCGTGGCCTTTTTGTCATGACAGGGCTTCACGGACTGGAGCAAACGAGATTTCAACCAGTTCATCAAGGCCAACGAGAAGTGGGGTCGCGATGACATCGACAACATTGCCCAGGAGGTGGAGGGCAAGACTCCTGAGGACGTCATTGAGTACTCGGGTGAGCGCCCACCACGCCCGGCACTTTTCGTCCTGTTCCATATATATTTTCCAGAGAGTCATTACTAATGAGCACACTGCCTACGGGGATGTATGTTTGGATAGGGGTGTTCCAATGGCTAGTCAGACTTAATTGTTGGGTGTTCCCATTTTCTGTATGCATGTTGAACTTCCTTTGCACCGTACGTAGCCGAACGTGCTAATCAGAGGAGCGGGGGAAGGACAACAAACTGAACGCAAAAAGCAGTTGTAAAGACATGAGTTTTCAATCTAGATTTAAAAGTGCATAGGAATATTCTTAGTTCTTTCGGTAAAGTCACGTTGAAGGGAAACAACAAAATAATAAAATATATATAAAACAATAAAAATTCTCACGACGTTTCGACCATAACACAAACGGTCGTCTTCAGGTGTGTTGGTTTGCATAAATTTATTTTTAAACGGTGTTTAAAAATAAATTAAAAAAAAATGTTTTATGCAAACCAACACACCTGAAGACGACCGTTTGTGTTATGGTCGAAACGTCGTGAGAATTTTAATTTTTATATATTTATTATTTTGTTGTTTCCCTTCAATGTGACTTTACCGAAAGAACTAAGAATATGAATTACTGCAGTCACGAAAGCTTTAAATCAAAATGCATAGGAGTAGTTGACAATTGTTGTTTACCATCAACATCGTGGCAAAAAATACATCTTCAACTTTACCCCCTACTGACAAAATCTTGGCAAGATGCTCCTAAAACAATCTTAAAACACTAGGGGAATGAATGAAGCATCGTCATCAACATCGATGTGAAACGACGCAGGAGAATGCAAAAGTGAGAAAAAATAAACACGGAATATAGATCACTGTAGAGGGATGACGTTGACAGGTTCCGTTAACCTTGACTAGGATTTGAACGAATGGAACCACCCTTTGCCCGAAACAAGAAGTCATCAACTGAACAGAGGTAGCATTTTGCAGTGGGGAGAGTAGGTTGGAGCACACTAGCCCACCAAACACTAGCCCTTAGCAAACATCTCAGCAGCCCCTAGCACAAACCTTGTCACAGACACCATCTTTATCCAAATAAGCAATCAATCAGTCACTTGTTGTACTTGCCCTTCCACTGACCTTGACCGACTAGCCAACCAGCCATGAATACTAACCCTTGTCACTGACTTTGACTCGACCTGCTAACCTTCCCTCCAATTCTTTGCCTTTGGCCCCCCTTGTTACCTTTTTGTTCGTCCTTTGAGTTTCGGCATTCGCTCTGCAAACAGCGCACCCACCTGCCCACGTGATAACAATTGGCACGGGAGATGAACTGAATTTTGCCTGTGACGGGTTTCGTGCTAACGGGCCGCCCGCCTCTCCCCCACGCCTGTGTCCGTGGCGCCGGCAGCGTTGTTCTGGGATCGCTGCAACGAGCTGCAGGACATCGAGAGGATCATGGCGCAGATAGAGCGTGGGGAAGCGCGCATTCAGCGCCGGATCGGCATCAAGAAAGCGCTGGACGCCAAGGTGAGGCTCTGCCGACGCGGCGTCGTCGTCATCCTCTTCCGTCACACACAACGCAAGCCGCGCCGAACAACTTCTCATAACTAAGCAACTCTCGGCGTTCTAAATCATGGTGTAGTAAAATAATAATTGACACCGCGTTGGCAGTGATGAACAAGCATGAATAACCACAAACTTAACACATTCGTCATTAACACCGCCCTAGAGAGGAAACGTACATGCTAATGTATAATAGGTGACGATATGGGCATTGATTCTGATCATAGCCAATGTTCCAATGCTTGAAACATCGCTAATTGTGTGTTTTCTTTTCGGGAAATGTTTTTTTGACGAATGCGAGTGTTTTTTTTTTAGAAATGCAAAATCATTGTGTGGTGGGTAATGAATGCCAAGTTTTATGGGTAGAATTATGCATCAATTTACCATTTTTCTCGTTTAATAATTTGTTTCCCAATGGTATTATCGGTGCCATGTAATGAATCGGTCACAGAGCAGTGGAAAACCCCCTGTGTTAGAAAACAATCCAGAAATATGGATATCACGGAACTACTTCTTGTCCACACACAGGGGGCAGCACTATTCCTCCCACCCTACCACAGAGCAATATGCGTCACAAGACAGTCAAACCAATATTTTTTAATCACGAAGCTGATATTTTTGCCAAAGTAAGTGCTGAACCAAATTTGATGTTATGGTTATTTCGTCCAGTCAGGCGTGACTGAAACTATCAACACAGGCGGCTGAAATCTGGATTCGAAAGTAAGATCCTATTGATGGCTGCTCGGCGCTATTGACACGTGTGTCTATTTCTTCTGTTTCCCATGTCGCCTGTGTCCGCAGATTGCACGCTACAAGGCGCCCTTCCACCAGCTACGCATCTCGTATGGCACCAACAAGGGCAAGAACTACACAGAGGAGGAGGACCGCTTCCTCATCTGCATGCTACACAAGATGGGCTTCGACCGCGAGAGCGTCTACGACGAGCTGCGCCAGTGCATCCGCAACGCACCGCAGTTCAAGTTCGACTGGTTCCTCAAGTCACGCACGGCCATGGTGAGGCTTCCATCCTTCGTTGTCGTTATGGTAACCTCGCATCTTCCCTCCCCAACCAGCGTTGCCATGTTAGCCCTTCCCCCCCCTCCCCTTACTGGCTTCTCAGGTGTTGCCAAAGTAACCCTTGGCTCTCGCCCAGCATCACCGCAGTACTCTTGCATCTATCGCAATGGTTACCCACGCCTTCTCCTATACGTTGCTTGGTACTGTAACCTCCCCCTAAGTATCGCCACGGTACCTTGGTCTCTATCACCTTGGCACTATCGCTTCATATTATCATTATGGTATTTCTCACCACTTTGTCACCATAGTACAATTAACTTTCGTTGTCATAATGGCACCCTTGCCTCTCACTTCCACAGCATTGCCAAGATAATCTGCATGCTTGGACAAGCGTGGGACATTTCTCATCTATTGAATATTGGCAGTCCTGGGCCAGTGATGGCAACCAGTCTCAACACGGGGACATCCAGTAGCATCTGTTGCCCAGCTAGTAATTGTCGACACAGTAGTGCATTGTTTTGGCGGTCCGCGTGCTTCACCTGAGCGTGTTCGGTTACGGCGCAGGAGCTGCAGCGGCGCTGCAACACGCTGATCTCGCTCATCGAGAAGGAGAACTCCGAGCTGGAGGAGAAGGAGAAGGCGGAGAGGAAACGACGCGGACCCAAGTCCTCCTCGGTCAGACGAAATGGCAGTGCAGTTTGCACGCTGGCACCACACTGCATGCTCGCACTGCACGTGCGCACCACACGCTCCCATATGGCAACAGTAGCCGCTGTTCACTACTGCCGGCGATGTCATCACAGCGCTTGTCAGGCTCGGAGCATTTTAAGTCCAAGTGCTGTGGCAGCAGGTTACAAGACTTAACATCCAGGTGTTATGGATTAACTGAGAAAAACTGGGAGACACACCACCTCTGCTCCCCCGCTCTGCCAGCTTGCTCTGATTTTAGCACATGTGCACAGAGAATATTCAGTTGTTTAGCAGCTCTGCTTTGAAGTAGGGCCATAATCCATCTCGTAAGACTAATATCTATTGTATGTTTATGTTATAAGACAGTGTTTTACATTCAAATGTTTCTATACCCCCCTCCCCCACAATTTTCTCTAGATAGTACTATTGGTGTCATGTCATGGGACTGTCCGTTCTCCTTTGAATGTTAAACCACTGACTTTCAGAGTACACAGCGCGGACCTGCAAAAATGATCAGAAGTGTTCAAGAAGGATCTGTAAATGAAGCTCTAAAATAGGTTTGTTCATCCCTTGACATCGGTCTCATTTTGTGACCCATCTTTTTCCAGGCGCAGAAGAGAAAGGCGGAAAACACCCCGGATTCCCGTGGCCGCAAAAAGAAAATGAAGCTGTGATGGAATCACGGACTTTCAGGAGCAGTGAGATGTACGCCGGCACCGTGAGTCAGTCGGGGAAGTTGGGTTAGGAAGGGGGGGGGGGTGGTGGAGGGAGAGGGTAGGGGGGATAGAGCCAGTGGGGGGGGGGGGGGGGGCGGGAGATGAGGTGCGTGTGCGGGATTTCACGTCTTCCCCAAACACACGGTAGTTACATCGGCGTCAGTGGCAGCGCCGGAGGCGCCGATGCCGTGCTGTCTGGTTGACAACAGGGGAAAGAAAAACGTCTCCAGAGGATCTTCAACGTCACACAAAGCAATGAGTGTCAAGATCAAGAAGATTGTTTTTCCCCTAACAATGACTATTGTTTTTGTAATGAGCTTCAGGAAAAAAGCACCGGGAAGGGTAAATGCGGGTTTTATTTTGAATTCACCAGCAGCAGTGTTTGTGAATTCCTACACTCGGCAAACTCTCCCCACCACCCCAACTCCTTCAATTCCCCGAGGAATGGTAGCCTCTGTAACGGTTGCTACATTTCACACAAAGGCTTGCTCACACCTGAGCGATCAGTTTGGGAAACTTGGTTGCATGCAACCAAGTCGTTTTTGTATGTGCAGTCGGTTGAGCGAGCAGTTGTGTAACCGTTTGCTTGTCTCGCAGAGGATTCTTCGCAAGCTCACCTTGCAAGCGATCGGCTCGGAGATTCATGGCCATGTATTTCCTCACGCGCACGTTTTTACGTACACGTTGACTGGTGGTTACAATCTTGACACAGGGTTGAGGGTGGTGGTGGTGGTGGTGACGGCGCTCATGAGAAGGATGGTGCAGCTCTGCTGCTGTCAAGGGCAGTGGGCCAGACACTTTAGCCATGACCATGCACGCTCTTGAAATGCAACTACTGGCTCAGATGTGGGCAAAGCAGTTGTGGCCAATTTGCGCAATTTGGCTGTGCAACTGATCGTTTGCAGACAAGTGGGGGCATGCCATTCCCTCACGGGTGGGGGGGGGGGTGGTCGCTGGAGCCCAATGACCAACGCGGATTGGTCCAAGTGAGGGATCACTTGGGGCTCCCGCAGTGGAGTCGTAACCGTTGTAGCCACAGCGCCGTTATGAGTCGGCGTGGGAGAGCGCCCTCGTTAATTTTATTTCGGAGTGGAAATGTTTATATTGAACGAGACTTAGCCCCGTTTGTTGTACTGTACGTGTAGGTGCTCCCCACCGAGTGCTTGTGTTATTTTGTACTTTAGCCTTTTGACCATTCCTAAAATAAACTTGTTCAAAAAGAAGATTCTGCTTGTTTGGGTGTTTTTGTCAGTTTAGCACCTCCTATGTGTTTTCAAAATATGTAGACACTACATACCTGTCAACCCATGCGGTTTACCCGTATTTTTGTACAGGGAAATTGAGTTTTCAGGTCCCTCCAGCGTACAGCCGTTTCAATACGGGCACATTTTTTTGTGTTTATCCCTTGTGATGGGACTTTGTAGGATGAACGTTGAGATTCATAAGGGCATGGGGTGACCAATAATGTCTGAATTTCCCTTTAATTAGGTAGGCAATGATAAGGGGTTGACAGGTATGACACTATGCCCCCCTTAACACATCTGTCCCGGTATAAGTATTTTACTCATTAAGGCCGTTGTCGACCTACATGTAAACACACATAGTAAATATGTACACAAACATTTAAAATATAACTTTTGCGGTCTGCCATGAATATCGCACCGAGTGAAACATAAATATATAAGCTATTGAGTAATGTACACCGCCAAATCTAAATGATTGCATTCCTTCTGTAACATTTTGCAAGGGTCGTGTAAGATTTAATTGGGGATTTAAGTAATTTAAGAAGGGTGGCATATTTTACTGTGGGAGATCGTTCCATTGATGCCATCAAATGTCGGTAATTTTGTAACCGCTATATTACAAATGTATGAAAGTTTATTTGGCATTGGTTTGTGCTTCCTTGCAGTGTTTTGCGATTTCTCACGTGACACGGTTGTGTTTTTTTTCTCTTAATTTCTGTTTGCGCTGTTGCTATACTTTGTTGTTTTGGTGACCTCGCCCCCCAGGTCACTCTTGCTAAATGAGACTCGTAAACTGATCTTTCCCACCTGGTGAGACAAAATAAACATTAAAATTCTGCCAGATCCAGCAATTGTTGCACAGTAAAAACACAGCCCAATGAACACAGCCCAATTAACGGTCTCCATCATAACCCACCTCCTTCGTCCCTCTATTGACACGTCCTTCAAGGACCATCCTAACCATCTCATCGCAACCACAGTGTGTCTTTTGGGATCTTTTCTCCCAAGTGGTACTTTATATGGGCGAATAGCCTACAAAGCCCGATGTGAACAAATCGCCTGGCATGGGCCTGATCCTACGAGCCATCCGAAGTTTAAGGAGAGTTTAGCCTGGCTAGAACTTGGATGGGTTGACCACATGCGAGAGTCTAAACAGATCGGTGTGCAGTATGCGTTTTACGCAGCAGAGGGCAGTGTAGAAAAAACAATTACTGTATCTGGCCCCAACCACCAACGCGCACTGACCAGAGTGGTGAAGCATGGTCAAACAACCCCCTCACTGCCTTGCACGGTGTGGTGTTGAGCCCCTCATTCAGCTGTGGATTGAACGAGCAGGCTGCGTATGTACCCAGTTGAATGAATACATTAGTACTCTATTTAATGCGTGGTCACTGGCAATAGAAAATGTGTGATGTTCAACATAATGGCGTCACCAGGAATCCACGTTGCATTTAATGTAATGACGTCACGACAGGCTTTGCATAATCAAAATACAATCGTGTCACGTCACGAGGAGCAAGCCACCAGCATTTAGGTAAACTGGCAGCAGGCATTGCCTGCAATCGCGCTGGTGCCTATGACGCAATAACAGGCATACATTCTCATCGTTGGTGACGTCACGTGCGTTGTTCGGGAATTTAATTCGACGTCACACATTTTCATCCGACACATGACGTTCCCACATACCGTTAGCAAACCCTGTCAATGACGTCACGGGCAGTGTGCTGCATCATCTTTCACGTCGTGATTGCAAGAGGCACCCCAAAAAATGTGTGCCCTGTGTCAATAAAGTTGTACAAATGTGGTCTCACGCACGCGCGCGCACCACTACCGGATAACAGGCTGCACCTCCGATACGTGCCTTAGGATAGATGTGATCATGGGGACGAGGTGCGACAGGTCGAAAGCGTCCCAGCAGGCGTTGCATCATTACCTCGGCGACGTCACAATGAAGCATGGCCAAATCAAAACGAAAAAAATATTTACAAATTTCACCAGGTACGGCTCACCGGAGCTGTATAGTTCTTTTTCAGAGGCGACCTGGCTGCCACAAATGATTTCAGTTTCAGTTTTTCACTTTGCTCTTGAATCGGGTGCAACCGCAACGAACGAAAAATTTAAAAAAACATGAACAAGAAAACATCTTAAAGTGACTATGCGCAATCAGAAAAAATCCAGGAAAAAAACAGCAAAACGGTAAGTGTCTCATCGTGTGGAAATGTATATCGGCCAAATACTCTACACGCGTGCTGTTGTTTGTAAATGTGGAGGGAAAAACCGGAGGTCCCCGGTGCAAAAATCCACCGACCACCACGGGGAGAGATGAAAGAGACGCAAACTCGAAATGTACAGCAGGTGTGAGAATCGGGATCAAAGCCACGACCTCCTGCATACCAGGCGAGGGAGTTAATAACGTCTCGCCACAGTAACCGCCTCCATGGCCCAGCAGTGCATTGACGAAGGAGCCGTACACGCGATGCGATGACGTCCAACTGATGCATGGTCGCCACCCTCCGCTGTTTTTTTTGTTTTTGCACTAAGGACCATTGCCCGAAACGTTCGACGCGCGCGTTGAGCTTCGTCGTTACATTCGCGCTCGTGCGCGCAGACGCGTCGGAACTTCGGTCTTCTCTCTTCCACCTCTGCGAGAAAGAGAGAGGAAAAAAAATAACTCGGTGAGCTCATCGAGATTCCTCCACTGTAAATAAACATCCCAGATCCCGACACGGCGACGGTGTGGACGTGCGATCCCTGACGTCACCGGCGCATTCCTCAACACAACTCGGCGGTGACGTCACCCGACGTTTCGGATGCGCTCGTTTCCGAACGGTGACGTCACCGCCGCGTTCTGATACATTCCTCGTCCTGCGTTGTGACGTCACGTCGGAAGTGGACCGACGAAGGGAGCGCGAGAGGAGAGAGAGAGTGGAGAGTCAAACGGGCAGCTGTGGCAAGAGCAGCAGCAGCTGTGGTAGCAAACAGCAGCAACAGCAGCAACAACAACAACAGCAGCAAGAGTGGCAGTAAGTCAACAAGCACAAGCTGTAGCAGCAGCAGTGAAAGCAGACCCGGAGCAACACAATAGGAGTACGACCACCAGCTGCATACAAGCAGCAGCAACAACAGCAGCAGCAGTGGCTCCAGCAGAGTTGCTGCATCATCAGCAGCAGCAGCGGCGGCGGCGGCATTAACAACAGAGCAGCCTTACTCGTACCAGCGGTCGCTGCAGTGGCTGCAATCGGTGAGGATAACAATAGGGATAGCAACAGCGGTAACAATAGGAGCGCAGCATCGGCAGCAACGAATGCGGCAACATTGGCGGCATCAAGGGCAGCTGTAACAAACTACTGCTGCTAGCAACAGCAACAACAGCAGCAGCAACAACAGCATCAGCAGTAATACGATCATCGGCATCAGCAACATCGTCGGGACCAACATCAACAGCAGGATAAAGCCAAAATAGCATCAGCAACTACTGCAATAGCAACAGCATTCCACAATCCCAACAGTGGCATCAAGTTCAGCAGCAGCAGGAGTAGCATCAGCAGCATCATCATCAGCAGCATCAGGGTCACCACATCTGGTCGTCGTCATAGTCATCCCGTGCTGCCCAGGGGGCTCCTGCGGCGGGAGTCGAACCCAGACGCGGCCGCCTCGGATACCGGCGGCGCGATGAGCGGCGCGGGCGAGGTGGTGTGCAGCGGGTGGCTTCGCAAGTCGCCGCCGGAGAAGAAACTGCGCAGATACGTGAGTGTCCCGAAACGTCGTCATTCTCCCCCCCCCCCCCCCCCCCCCGCTGGATGCAACTCACGGGGTGCCGGTCACGGAGCGATGTCGTTGTTGTGTAAGTCGCCACGCTGATCGGTGCTGCTGAACACTGACACCCCAGCAACGCCGTGTGTGCCGTGCCCGGCACTTGCCCCTCTGGTCTGTTGAGGTTATACGGGTGAACCTTTGAATTTGTGGTCCAACATCAGAGCAGTTTGTGAGGCATCGCTCGCCTACCGATGTTTGACCGGTCAGTCCGTCGTCGGGGAATTGACTGACGCAGGGGGTCAGGTCAGGTCCGCCGGGTTCGTAACGCGGTGCGCTAACCACAGCGCCACCGCTCCGCTCTCACAATCTCGCACAGCGGCAGTGTCGTGTCAGTCATGGGGTAACGAGACGGGGGACGCGTACCCATGGGTCATTAGGTCGGTGGCGATTACGACAGCGACTGCAGCAGTGGTTGCGCTGTGAGCCGGTGCCCGAATGACCAACGTGGACGCGCGTAGTCCATAGAATTGGTACCACTTTGTGGTTTGTGGACGGCGGCAGCGGCGGTGGATATGGTGGGTCTTTGGATGGTTCTGTTCTGACCGTGGGAATGTGGAATTGTTCACTACTGGTTCAGGCCCGCCGACAGGTAGATGCTATAATTTGCTTTAAAAAAATCAACAATATCCCTTCTTATGAATAAGGGTCATTGCCTGAAACGTCGCCTATCATATGCGTTCCCTTTAATGGTCACACGGTGCTGTTATTGACGAATGTGATGAGGTGTGTTGTTGTCTGTGCTTGTGCATCACTGCCAACGCTGTGTAGCATCATCATCACCACCACCACTACCAGAGGATTCGTCCCATTTGCTCATTTCGGTTCATTTTGCAACAAATGGTTTTGCGTGACTTCACCAAGGCGTGTGTATAATCCGTCACAAATGGTGTTACAAACTCACGTGTATGTGAATGGGCTTCTACTAATTCGACTTAGATTAAAATGAGTGTCTGGTGCAGTGTGTAATAATCGCCACTGGGGAGACAAAGGCGGCCGGGCGTGGTGCTGTCCAACCACCAACTCGTGTTTCTGTGCTGGCCTTCATGGGCTATACGGGGGGGGGGTCATTGTTGACACGTCCCTTGAGCATAGCAGTTAATTATGTAATGATGTACAGTAATCTTAATGATGATAGTGCAGTGTAACAATAATCACAACTCGATTAATCAAATCATCGAACTTGTGGAAACATTGTAATGCTGTGAACCTCTATCGCACCGTACGTAGCCAACCGCGCTAATCGGAGGTGCGGGTGTAAGGACGACAAAACGAGACACACGAAGCCGTTCCTAAGAAATTCGTTTTCATACTCTTTGGTTCTATTCGGTAAAGTCACGTAGGTAAAAAAGAAAACAACAAAAATCACGACGTTTCGGCCACAACACCAGCGGCCTTCATCAGGTGAAGGGACCAGGCTGTCTCGAGGACAGCGCTGGAGTGAAACACAGCCACGCAGACCGCGACCTTTAAGCTTAAAGAGACAGCCTGGTCCCTTCACCTGATGAAGGCCGCTTGTGTTGTGGCCGAAACATCGTGATTTTTGTTTTATTTTTTACCTACGTGACTTTACCGAATAGAACCACAGAGTATGGATCCTTGCAATCACGAAAGCTTTAAATCTAGAATGAGTTTTCAATTTAGATTTCGAAAGTGCACAGACCCCAGTGGCTTCCTGATATCGGAAGGACATTCCCCACCGACGTCTCCGTGGGAAATTGGTGGCATTTAAAAAAAACAAAGATAGGAGCCAAGCGCTGGAGCTTGCTGATTCTGCTTTATTCCAGTTACTATGGAGAATCGCCGACCTGCAACGTTAAAGTTCGGCTCAGGGTTTCGGGTTTTGGTATTCCAGTCTGTTTTTTTTTAACGCATCGATGCACTCGTTCGTTAGCTCATTCATTCCCTTCATTCGTTAACTCACTATCGGAATTAGTAAATAAATTCCTACTGTATTAACAAAGTCGTTTGTCATTTAATTGTTCATTAATTCGTTCTTTCGTTCATTAACTCATTCCTACGTTCATTAATTACTTGGGTAAAGTTGTTCCTGCATTGGATCACTAAACCATTAATTCGTTGGTTTGTCAATTAACTCTCGTTCATTCGTTAGCTTCTTAACTCGTTCAATAATTCATTAATTAAATCCCCTTCCGGAATTGAAAGACCCGTAACGTCGATCACGCGCCTCGGCGTTCCCTCGGACAGGCTCTCCTCTGGGTAGACTCAGCCCGAAATGACCCCACGTGAACCCGCCCGCGCTATTCGCCCAATGTCGCTGTCGCGTCGTTAAACGCCTTTTAGGGGCTGCGGAGGCAAAGGGCTAAAGGTCCCTGTTGCAATCGCTTGTGGTCCCTGCTGCCACAAACACACACACGGGTGCAACCTTACGGTGCCCTACCTGCTGCTCCCTGTTGCGATTGCATAGCCACTGACACGCTGGTGCACTTGCTGGCAGTCTTACAATAACCCCTGCTGCGCCCTGTTGCGACTGTATAGCCTCTGACACGCTGTTGCACTTGCTGGCAGTCTTACAATAACCCCTGCTGCACCCTGTTGCAAGAGTGATTCTCGACTCCCTACTTCATCCCGTTGCGATGTCACGACTTTCTGCGCCCCGTTGCTGCAGCCTGTCGACTCCGTAATGCCCTGCTGCACGTGCCTAGTTGTCCCGCTCCGTCCGGATGCGATCATTGGGGCTTGTCGAGGCCCCTGTTGCAGAAGCGGTTTGGCGTTGCCCTTCTTTTGCAATCTCGCGATGGACCCAGTTGCAGTTTGGCAGTAACTCGTGATGACGTGCAGCGGCGTCGGTGTGGTTGGTGCGCGCCCTGCTGCGATATCGCCTCACCCCGCTCTATTCTCCTACGCCAGAGTGTGGCTCGAGAGGGCCCTTCAGCAGTCTGATGCAACATCGATTCCCTTGCCTCGGTGGTTAGATTTAATTTTGCTGTTTTTCTCGTGTAACCAGGGTGACAACTCAAGAGAGCCCAGGATTGAGTGATCCTGCCTGGGGGCATCGGTCCGCTGCCAGGAAGGGGGGCCCGATGTTTTGCCGCGTGCGCATAATCCCAAACGAGCAACTTTGCGGTGCGATTTAAAACAAAAAAAACTAAAATCGAAGGCGCGCGATGGCCCCGCGCTCTTGCGAATGACATCAGGGGAACCTTGCTTGTTACTTCCATCGTGGCTGAAGTGGACGTCTTCGGAGTACCGTTACACCACCGCCGCAGTATTCATCGGGGGGGTGGGGGGCGAGGCGGCCGGATTCGAACCGCGATCCACCGCAACCAACGGCGAACGCGCTGCCCGCTTGGCGCCGCACTGTCGCGGTACGGCTTGCTGTGAAAGCCCTGCCTGGCGCGATGTCGTCATGCCCTGCGTTGTCTGCGAATCACGCGGGTGGGGAAGGGGGGGGAGGGCTCGGGGGATTTGCCATGAAATTAATCCGCTTATATTGGGATACACGGCGCGTGCGTCCCAATGTTCATATATTGTGTCGGCACGGGGAGGTCGAGGCGGCACGTGAGTCTCTTATCGAGGGAGACGCGGGGGCAAAGTCTGTCGACGGTGCGATGTTACTGCAGAGCGCGTACAAGCCAACGATGTCATCATGAGCCGTGTTCTGTCGACTGGTGGATGAAGGGCAGGGTTTAAGTTCACACTCGATAACTTCCCAAACACCGCTCTGGTGTGCTGGGTTGAAGTAGGGTTTGCGGACGTAAGGCACTGCCACTAGATTGCACGGTGCGCCAATCCCACAATAATCCTATATTGTCACCACCCAATAAAATGATCCCGGTGTGGACAAAATAAGTTATTGCGAGGGACAAAATAAGGCGAGAGACGGCGGATGTGGCCGGGAGCTTGAAAAGCACATTCCCGGAACAGCGTTCCGGACTGATCTGGTGCGAAAAGAGGGGCCCCTCCTCAACACGGTTCCCCATCCCTCGCGACGCCACAACACCCCACCGCTCCGTCTCTGCGGGGACGTCACTGTCGGGCGTTCCCTCCTTTGGCTGTCGTTCCGTCGCCAGCCCCATCCACGGGCTGCTGCTGCTGCTAACGCCGCCCAGCAGCCGGGGTGCGTCGACTGCGCTGCGGTCGCATGCAAGCGGATTAAGCGTTTGGGCAAGCGGAATTCCCGGCAGCCCGTGAGTGAGTTTAAACCACTCACGGGCTGCCATGCACAGGTGAGTCAGGGCACTTAACACACAAAATGTAATGAGTGAGTTGTTACCTTAAAGCCCTTCCCTGTACTGTAGCGTCGAGAGTTCATTAATGCAGCGAAGTTGTTGATGATCTCATCCCAAATCGCCGGCCACTGGTGCACAAAAACAGCCCGTCACTTTAAAATGTGGCATTTCGCTCAATGTCGACATACTCCAGCTCGGAATTAACAACAACAACATCAACAACATCAATCGCCGTTCTTCACTAAGTGCGGCGGTGACGTCAGTACGGCGCTTGTGCCAGGCTATGTGCACATCAAGGCCCCGTGAAGTGTCGAACACCCGCTGGCCGGAGGTCACGGGACAGACCCAGGTGCCGCCGGTCGACTGAGATGACTGGCTGATGCACGACCTGTGCCCCTCCGCAAGGTTGACGTCGTCGCTCCGTCTCCCCTGGAGATGTGGCTCGGGTGCTTTGCCTCCTTTGTCTGCCACTCCATCATTAGTCTCGACCATCGGCCGTCATCCCTCCGAGCTACGTGTGCTGCTGCTGCTCAGGCCCCACTCACTCTTCTGAACAGTAAACACGACGACGTGGCGTCTTTAACCTGCGGAATGTTCTCTCATCCACATACTTGCTGTCTCTGTTCTCTGTCCCGTGTGCAACGGCAACACATATCGTACACGTGAGGCGTACGGGCAGAGAGGGATTGCGGGATTAACCCAATCGGCCTTGTGCAATAAAACAGAGATGGAGAGAAGCAA